CAAGCGCGGCAAATACAAACCGTTCAGCATCATCGTGCGCGACGAGGGGAACGATGAGCTGGCGTACAAGGCGGCACTGAACGTGGTGAAGAACTGCTTCGAACTCATGCAAGCGGGGAAAACGTTTGTTGGCGAACCGTTCATCAAGACCGACATGCAGAGCGAGAGGGTGAAGTTTCTTCACTTGGACGAGTACGTCGACAGCAACTTCAAGCGCACGAAAGGCACGGAGAAGATCTTCAAGAAGTCCGACACGGAGACCGCAGGGTCCGCAGCCGAGCCGACCACGGAGACCCCGAAGACGAAGCAGGGCCAGGAGACGCGCACCCCTCCAAAGGGCAAGGACCCGACTACGAATCCTGCTAAGAGGCAGCGCGGAGCTCAACCCGATGCTGGGCAGCCTCGCAAGGCGGCCAAGTTCTCCTTCACCAAGGCGTTGAAGGCATATGCGGATGCGTCCAAGGCTCAGCAAAGCTGCAAGGATGTCACGCACGCGATCTCCACGAAAGTGGATTGGCAGAAAGCTGTAGGAGATGGGATGGTCCAGGACCTCCGTGAGGCAAGGAAGGCAGTGGAGACCTTCCTCGAGAGCTCTCCCTATTGGGCGAACGTCGGCCTGGCGGACAACTTCCAGAAGTGGGCCAAAACAAACCTTGAGGCGACCGACATCGTGAATGAGACCAACCGCTCGGGAGAGCTGGACTCCCTCGTCGCGAAGCTGGTCGAGGCAACCAACCGTTGCAAGAGGGTTTATGAGGCCTCCATCGCAGCCTGAGGTGCCACTGTTTACGTTAGTGGGAGCGCGATGCTGGCCAAGGGGATCGGTCGGCGGTGTTTGATCGAGTGCGGCAGGGCCCGCACTGAACAAGCATTCGAGCGATGCATCGTCGACCGACTTTTCAGGTCAAAGAGACAGGCCATGACGAAGAAAACTATCAAAACACAGATCGCATGGACCTCGACAACGAAAATCAACAACAACACAATCATATATCGAAATATCGCTACGTTCTCTGGAAATCACCTCGGTGTACGCCCCATGATGTCCAATGATCTTCAATGATTTTAATCCAGGGCGAAATAAGACCCATGACGTTTTCGCCTGAGACATCCCCTCAAAATGGCAATGATGTTCAATGATGTTGGTCACCATGACGTTCAATGATGTTCAATGATTTTCAATGACGTTCGATGCTAGGCTGCCCCTCCCAGGTAAAGCAGAAAACTGTATAGGAGGAGGAGGGCGAGGGGGCGTAGTGGGAGGAAGGATTGGTTGGACAGACGTGGAGGATGATCAGAGTGAGCAGCATGATCAGCGGCAGGTGACACCAATTCGTATTCGCAAACAACGTCCTTCACACACACCCCCCCCTAAGGATCCTTAGGTGGGGGGGAGTGAAACTGATGTCCAAGGGGCGTGGGGAACCTATTGGGGGTCTCCCAGAACCTTACGCATCCATTCCTCCTTCGTTCCTCTCTTCCTCCCCCCCTGTTCCGTCGGTAACTGCTTGGGCTCGGATACCAGTTTCTCCATTACAAGAAATGGCAACCTTACATAGTTGGGACAAGGCTGCCTGGTGGAATGCACCCAGGGGGCTGGGCGATGACGGTGAAGCTATTGATAGTTTGAGCTTTCAAGAATGTGGTGAGACATTGTTCGAGTATCTCGTGTCCTTGAAACAGACTGGTGCCACGGTGCATGCAAATACCATATGTGTGATTGCGTACTGGGCTACAAAGGCTGGTGCGAAAGGTGTTGAGGCTCTCTGGTTTGGCCCTGGTAAGCAGAGCGGTGCATACAATAAACACTTGGACTCGGTGCTCGGAACCCGACGCAAAGACGAACAATTCTACATGCTCGATGTCCCGTCCACTCGCAGAGCGGACCAATCCATGGTGACCTTGCATGTGCCGTTTTCTCCTCCTCACGTCTGCATTCAGAATGAGTTGAAAATGGATCCGTCGCTCCAGGGTAAGCCCGAGGCTGCTATATCTAAGAAGGCCCTCCCTCCAGTATATTTCAGCCACGACTTTGTGCGCGCCTCGCCCGAAGGCGAACGCGTATGGCCGCTCGCAGTATACACTGACGGCTTCAGCTTCACACGAACAGATAGCTGCATTGCGCTGTGGGTGTATAACATTATTTCAGGCGTGCGTCATGTTTGCGCTGTGATGCGGAAGTCTGACCTTTGTTCCTGCGGTTGCAGGGGATGGCATTCGGTTTACGTGCTCCAGTTGGCGATGCGTTGGAGCTTGATGTCGCTAGCTGCTGGAATTGCCCCAGCCAAAAGGCATGACGGAGCTGACTGGCGAGAGTCTGAGACACTGGAGGCAGCGTGCTCCAAATCAAAGTTGTAGAAGGCTGTCGTGCTGTGGTTGAAACATGATTGGGTGGAGTCTACGAAGATGTACGGTTTCCCATCCTTCGGAACAATCAAGCACCCTTGCCCAGTGTGCGAGTGTAATCATGATAATTTGGATACATTTGCTGGCTTATCCTGCACTGGCGATATGCCATGGCAGCCGCATACCCTTGAAAAGTACGACGATGCTTGCAACCGCTGCGAGTTTTCGATACTTGTTACACAAGATAATTTCCCACGGCTCCGTGGATCGTTGGAGTACGACAGGACAAGTCACGGCAACAGAGGCCGTTGTCTCATGGTTGACCTTCCAGAACTCGGCCTCAAGAAAGGAGATCGCGTCGAGCCCCACCGTGACATGCCTAACATTTTGGACTTCGACGGGAAGGACAAACCATTCTGGGCTCTCTTCTGGAGGCGGTCCGAAGAAACGTCGGTGCGGAGGAGGTGTCCTATTTTCTGTCCGGAGACATGCATACATCCAGGCAGCATGGCAGTCGACTGGCTGCACTGTCTGTCCCTTGGCGTGTTCGGTTTTTATTTGAATGTTTGCATTTGGTGGCTATTCGATCACAATGTGTTTGCCAGTCCGTCCACAAATAAAGATGGGAAGAATGCGCATTCACTCGACCGCATTCGTGCCATGTTGTTTGCGTGGCTCAAGGTAGAGAAAAAGGCTGGCAGAATCAATGCAGATATCCAAAACTTAACATTCAACATGTTTGGATCAGAAGGATCAGGCGAGTTCGAAATGCAAGGGGCGGAAACGAACACAATGCTAATATTTGTTGTTTCTGAAGTGCTAGCGCTGCCGAGTGCCAAGAACCTCCCTCTGTATTCGAGTGTGCTTCGGTGCGGCCAGGCATTGTGTCGAATGCTTGGCATTCTCAAGGCGAACAAAGGCAATTGGTCAGCTTCGGAAGTGCAAACGTTTTGCGACGAGTACAAAATTCATTTGAGGATCGCCAGAGAGTTGGACATCAAATTCAAACCCAAACACCACCAAGGCTGCCATCTTGTGAGCTCCGTGTATGTGACGGGGCCCCATCTGCGTACGGCGCCTGGTTCGACGAGCAATTGAACGGATATTTGAAAAAGGTATGTGCTGCCGCTCACAGGTGGAATTGGATGTGGAGGGTCTTGGTTGAGTTTCGGAGAGCGCACGGCGACGCAGCCCCTGCGCCGAAGAAGAGCAGGACTGTGTGAACAGCAAGCTGGTCGGGCTCAGGAAAAGAAACAAAAACAAAAACACACGCACACAAACGTTCTTGTTATATAATCGTTCTTGCCAACGTCACAAAACACACACACAAACACAAACAATACACTCAAACACAAACACAAACACAAGCACATACACACACACACACGCACACGCACCGCTGACAACGCCAATTTGCAGGAACGCTCTTGTTATATAATCGTCACGCTTCGCGTTCGGCACGTCTGGAAACTCACGTTGTGTTTTTAAAATTCTGGCGCTTCGCGCTCTGCGCATTTCACGGGTGCCATGCGGGCGCGTTCCCTTGATGGTGCCATGGCGGTGCTTGTGGTGCACTGCGCGCGCCTTGGTGCCCTGCGGGCGCCCTGTTCCAGTGGTGCCTTGCGGGTGCCACCCCTGGGGTCCCCAGGGGTATGTTCCGACCCTGCAGAATTTACTGCAAGTGCAAATTTAGAGATTCGAGTGCAGGGCGGTGTGTGGTCCATGGTCTGTTTGGAACGTCGTCCTCCTCCCACCTCCCCCTCCTCCTCCCTCCCCCTCCTCAGCCCAAATGGTCCATGGTCCGTATGGAACGTCCTCCTCCTCCTCCTCCTCCTCCCCCTCCTCCTCCTTCTCCGCCTCCTCCTCCTCTCCCCCTTCTCTCCCTTGCGGCGCCACCCACTTTGCGCCAAACTTGACCCCTAAAATTTGAGACAAACTTGACCCTTCAAGTTTGAGCTGGTTGTCCGCCTTCGCGCCAAATTTGGCCTCTCAAGTTTGAGCCAAACTTGACCCTTCAAGCTTGAATTCGACACATGCCCGAAGGACCAACAAACCTTGCGGTCCGCTGATCCGCCAGACACCGCGATCAGCGCGAGGGGTGCGTGGAAATGCGCGAGATCTGAAGCCCCCAAGGGTTTTCAGGAGTCCAGGGCTCAAGGTGTCTAGGGCCGCCCATGGGGATCCCAGGGCCCAGAGGCCCCCCACGGCCCAGGGAATTCAGGGTGCTTGGGGCCTTCCAAAGATTCCCATGGGGTTCCAATGCCTCCATGGCGTTTACCTGCGAGGGGTCCGCGGGCCGCGAGCAACCGAGAACAACAAGGCTTCGCCCTCCCCCGCCGCGCCCCGCTGCCGCCAGGGGGCCGCGTTCCACGAGAAACCGAGAACATCACAGGGCACGCAGATGCATCAGCACGCAAGGACCACAAACATTTTAAAACAAACCATTGGTGACAGTTGCCCATGCTGTTTTCGAGCGCTTCGTGTTGACATTGTGCGTCGACGCGCCGCTGTGGCGCACCAGCGCGATCAATCCCGATTTCCGTTTCTGGCATGGAGAAGCCAGCTTCAAATCGCTGTTAATGCTTACATGTCAGAAAAACTAAGTGATCGCACCATGGCGCGACTCTTAATTTTTAGCAACATATTCTCGAGTCTTAATTTAAGTTGCCAGGCACCTCTGTGAAGAGCTCCCCCAGCGTCGTGGCGGGGCTCTGCCGACACCACTCGTGCGTCTCGACCGCCTCGCACGGAACGCATACCCTGCTCCACTGGCGGGCCCAGGCGGGCATGTAGACCTGTGGGTTGATGTCCTCGCCCTCGTTCACGGCGGCGGCTTCGCGCTGGGCCTGTGCGTCGACGGCTTTGGCGAAGAGCTCGGACCCGCGCCGGCCGTGCTCGCACCGCCCCTCTGGGCGTCGTCCCACGGTGTAACCACCTTGCACGCGCCAGAATTGTGGATTCTCGAATTGCGCGGCACTGGCAATGCCTGGTGCGACCTTGCGAAGGCACCGCTGCGTTCTGCACCCGTCCAGCTCCACCACCTCGCCAAAGTGGTGATTGACCAAACCCAGCAGCGCTTTCGATGGTCCGTCGTCGTCCCCCAGCTGGTTCGGCGAAAACTTCTGCGCTGCCTTATCCGGGAGCTCCTTGAAAAACGTCCGGTAATGCTCCCGCAGCGCGAGCATGCGCAAGCGGCCCTCCCGCGCCTGCGCGTTTGGAGGTGGCCGCGACAGATCCTCGGCGCAGAGAGACCTCTTAGACGCCGCATTCAAAAAACTCGTTCGGAGCCATGGGCACCGCGACGGCACTGACCAGCTTGACGTACACCAGTTCGCGGCCCAAGAACATGTCCCGCGTGTCCAGGCCACGGGCACATGTTCTCCGACGCTCCTCGTGCTTTTCCCAGGCCTCGCGGCGCATCCTGTCGATGTTGTCCTGCACCTCGGGATCGTCGGGCTCGTCGACGACGCGGCGCCGCGCGTGCTCCACGCCGCGACTCTTCATAGCACGAACATCGTCCAGGGCGGCGTTGCTGGCCATCGGCTGGCCCTGCACAAGCTTCAAAAAATCCGGGATTGGAAGAACTTCGGCGCCGAGTGCAGCGCGGGCCTCCCTGGACTCACGGGCGGCGGCCGGGTCCCCATCGGGCTTCTCGGCCAGCTCCTCGCGCAGGTCAGCCGTGATGTCGAACTGGTGCGCGTCCGCCGTATCCTCTGTCCAATCGGCTTCCGGGTCGAACCCTGGCGGCGTCTTCTCCGCATCCGCCTTGTCCTCGTTCTGCTGCCCCTGGGTCGCCGGCCTGGCAAAGCCTGGCCCCGACCCCTGGGCTTCGCCTGCCACCGCTTGCCCCCCGCCCGCTGGCCTTCTTGCCGCCTCCAACTCGGTCCGCATGCGCGCGCGCATCCCCCGCGATCTCCGCGAAGCGGTTGAACTCCGCACCTGGCGTCTCGTACTCGGTGCCGTCCAAATCGCGCCCCTCAGGCAAGACGTCCGAGATGCGCTCGATCCCCTTGAGCAGAAGGTCCTGGGCCTTGACCAACGACGCAATGTTCCCGCCCCGCTCGAACGCCCTCAGCTCCGTAACCCCGGCCTCGCAGTAGTTGAGGCCCTCCGGGCAGGAGGCCTGGCGCGCCCCTCCGCTCACCTGCGCCGCAGGGGCGATCGGTGCACCCCCGGGCGCCGCTTTACTCTTCTTGGCAGGAGGCCCGGTCGCGCCGCCCTGATTCATTGAAGCTCCCACCCCCGCAGAACTGGCAAAGCCTGGCTCAAGCGGGGCCCCGCGGCCACCCTGACTCATTGAGGCCGACTCGGTGGGGCAGGGTTCCACCCGCGCCGCAGAGGCGGTCGCCTGGCCCCCGGGCATCGCGGGAGCGTTCTGGAAAGGATAAGGGAACGTTGGCTTGCGACTCGGTGCCTGCGTCGGAGAGCTGGCAAGGCCTGGCGCTGTTGGAAGGCCTGGCGCCTGCGTCGGAGAGCTGGAAGACCCCGCAGGACTGGGAAAGCCTGGCTCAAGCGGGATCCCCTCCAGGCCCTCTGGGAGCACGTCGTCTTCCCAGGTACCGTGTCTCGTCAGGCCGCTCTTGCAGTAGTCGCGGGCATGCTGAGGAAGGAGCTCCCGGCCCTTGACGGCGTGCAAGAACACGCGCCACGCCGCCGCGTGATGCCGTTTGGGGGGGGGGTCCTTAAACATCGCTGTCTCAGTGTACGGGCGCCCCTCCATGTGCTTCATGTGGTTGTTCCGCGTGATCTCGAACTCCAGAGCTACATGGGGCTCGCGGTGCAGGTGGACTTCCAGGTTCTGCTCGACGACGTAATCGCCTCGGTTGCCCTGCGAGGTCTTGGAGCTCTTGTCCACGACCTGAGGCTCAACCCCATATGGCCTCCACTATGGTTCAAGATAACCCGAGATGGCTCAAGATGGCTCCTCCCAAGGAGGCCCCCGAAGACCCCCGAAATCCCAAATGGCCAACCCAAACGCCGAGTGGCCACAAACATCTTTGGAAACACAGAGACCTTCAGCACGCCTGGTGATGCCCGCAAGTTCGTCTTGAACTCCTCCCGAATCAGCAGGCGCTGAGGATGGAGTTCCACCATGCCCGAAAAGGAAGTGCCCTTGTACTCGTATCGTTGCGCGAGTCTGCGCGAGCCCGCGTAGGGTGCCTCTGTCCCTGGGGCTGGCAAAGCCTGGCCCTGGGACACAGGCAGCGTATGTCTGAGCATGCGGGCGGCGGCGGCCATGGCCGCGGGACCGGCCAAAGGTCCGCGGGAACTCTCCGAACACAGAACCGTGATGGGCTGCGGTCTGACGGCGTCAACGCCGGCACAGCATACAGCACGGCATGATGATACAACAAGGCCCCGGGAACGATTCAGGAGTTCCCAAGGGAACCTGCAGGGACGTACCGACGCCGACTCCAACAGCGACGGCGAACGACGACTCCAGGGGCCCGCGCCGGCATCCTGTCGGCGTATCCCTTTTTATGTCGACGGCCCAACTCCAGCGGCCGAGACGCACCAATTTTTCGATTCGCTTCCAGCCGCGGCGGCGAGCAGGGCCTCCGAGGGCCAGGAAACCTCGACCGAACCTCGGCGCCAACCTCAAAACGGAACCGGAACCCCTCCCAGGGGCCCGCGCCGGCGTCCTGTCGGCGTATCCTTTTTTATGTAGACGGCCGAACTCCAAGGACCCAGACGCCCCAGTTTTTCGATTCGCTTCCAGCCGCGGCGGCGAGCCCGCGCGGCCGCCCGAAGGAACGGGGCGCGCTCGGAGAGAGCGGCTGGCAAAGCCTAGCCTGTACTGGTGGGTGCACGGGGCCTCGCCCGCACGCACGGCACGCACGAACACGAAATCGAAATCGATTTCCCGGTAGGGGGGCTCTCCGTTCCACTTCGATCTCACCCCCCAACCTCCAATCACAATCGATCTCACAATCGACGTCGTCATCATCATCAACATCATCATCATCATCATCATCATCATCATCATCATCATCATCATCATCAGCATCAGCATCATCATCATCATCATCCTCATCCTCATCATCATCATCATCATCATCATCATCATCATCATCGCCATCATCAACATCATCATCATCACCATCATCATCATCACCATCATCATCATCATACTCATCATCAACATCATCATCGGGACACCGACGGGACACCACCGGGACACCGGCGGGACACCGCGCGGCCCCGCGCCCCGGTGGAGAATCATTTGGTGCGGCCGCGCCTCAGCCACAGAGGACACCACCGGGACACCGGCGGGACACCGCCCGGCCCCGCGCCCCGGTGGAGAATCATTTGGTCCGGCCGCGCCTCAGCCACAGGAGACTTTCCTCTCGCCCGCCCACGCAGCTTCGCCTCGCCCGCACGCACGGCACGCACGAACACGAAACCGAAATCGATTTCCCGGTAGGGGGGGTCTCCGTTCCACTTCGATCTCATCCCCTAACCTCCGATTAAAGTCCCCCTGTAGGAGGACATGCCCGACCTAACCCTAGTTTTCGGACGCCCGAAATGGGCACGGAAAGAATGGGCACAATGCCCAACAACAAATGTTGTCCCAAACCAACAGCGGCCGCTGTTGGGTAGGCGGCCTCCTCTCGAATGGACACAGGCCGCGGCGGCGTGGACAGCGAGCCCTGTTCAAAATGAACAGGACCTGCTCTTGGGCATTGTACCCATTCTTTCCGTACCCATTTCGGGCGTCCAGACTCACAAATAGTCAAAAATGGGGGAATGTTCTCAAATAGTCAATTATGCCCCAGGCACGTTGTTTCGAGCATCTTTATCCTACTTTTGAGCATTCAAGTCCCCCTGTAGGAGGACATGCCCGACCTAACCCTGGTTGTCACCCCCCTCTTGGACGTCCCCGACACGACGACGACGGCGACGACGGCGGTGACGACGACGGCGGCGGCGATCGGCGACGATCGGCGACGGCGACGCTGGCGGCGACGATCGACGCGTGCCGGCGCGGCCTCCAGGCTGTAGCCTCGGCCGGTGAGGATCTCCGGCGCCATGTAGTGCGGGGTGCCTCTGGGCTTAAGTCGGGCCTGTCCCCCTACAGGGGGATTTTCGACGAAAAAAGAAAGATACCCCAAAAAGAATCCAAAAATAGTTCAAACATATCATGGGGATTATCTTTGGAGCATCTTTTGACCATTTTGGAGCATTTGTTGCGTATTTTTAATTTTGTCGTCGAAAATCCCCGTGTAGGGGGATACGCCCGACCTAACTCTGGGCCGCGTCCCGTCCCCGCGAGACCGCAGGCGTCGACGACGCCTACGACGAGCGAGCACCGTCGGCTCCTCCAGTTGGACTTCGCCCCATACGGCCCCACCCCCGCGAGGCCGCAAACACGGAGGCGCCGTCGACGAGCGAGCCTCGTGGGCTGCCTCCGGCCAGGCTGATGCCCGCACGGGCGCCCTGGTCGCCCTCGTCGGCGCGCCGTTGGTGCGGCGCGTGACGGTGGACTTTGACCTCTGATGGGGCAGGGACCGTACGGATCTGCCATCTCGCAGCTCCTCAACACTGCCTGCGTACCTGGGTGGTGGATGCCGCGAGGCCCGACTGAGACGCCACACCTATGCCCACCTACAGCGGGTCCAAGGCCTTCCTGGTGAGGATGACAATATTTCTTCCACCAGCCACGACCAGAATGGGGATGGGGATAGGTCTAACGATGCTGAACGACGGTGGCGACGGCTGGGTTTCGGATGTTTTCTGCTGTCTAAAATCGGGCGTTGGCAGGACTGGGTTTAGTGGGACCTGGTTAAATTATGTTTACTGGGGGACGCCCCCCCCGCCCGTTCCACTCACCGGAACTGCCGCCACCCGAAGAACCACCAGCTATGGCAACCCTGGTTCAGTGACTCTGGCCGATTTAGGGGCTTCGGGGCCCTCCTACTAACCGGGTCCCCTTACCTCGGGGTCCTGGCCATACCCGATAAAAAAACGCTCGAAGCGCCAAGAATAATGTGTTCCACCCGCGCCCCGGAGGGAGCCTTCCGAGGAGCCCGGAAGCGTACCGCACGGCCGCCCGTGGCCCGAGCTGCGCCCCGAGAGCCAGGGGCCGCACGACCACGACGGCGACGACATCGACAAGGAGCTCACTCTCTTTGTGCTTCGCCTGCCTCTTTGGGAGAGTGTTGGCATTTTCTCAACCTTGGACCGAACAAATCAGCTTAGCATTATCGCCTCGATCATCGTGACCGCTCTCGCTCAGATCGCAGCAAGCATTGAATGATGCATGCGATGGTGTACCATGACAAGGCTTGATACGGAACTCGTGGTATTATCAATTCCTCTTTGGGGCCCTCCAGGTAGGGGGGGGGGCCCTCGTTGCCAGTTCTGCCTCGAAGACCTGGTCGGAGCTCGCTCCTTGACAGGTCTGGGGTCGATTGTGTCCATTGTTGGCCCAACCGGCAGCAAACAGGCGGCGGTGACGGGCGATGACAGGCCGACAGCAACTAGACAAGCGCACTCCACTACTCGCGAAGTAACTACTCGCAAGTCGCCTGGATCCGCCGCGGGGGAATGAACGATCCATTCTATCGAGACAAGCAGGTGCTTCTCGGACATCTGGGAATAAGCGCCCGACGAGTAGTGGAACGCGCTCCTCCCTCCTCCCTCCACTCCTCCCTCCTCCCTCCCTCCCCCCTCCCCCCTCCCTCCTCCCCCCTCCCTCCTCCCCCCTCCCTCCTCCCTCCCTCCTCCCTCCTGCCTCCTCCCTCCTCCCGCGAACGGGCGATGAGAGGAGGAAGGCAACGGCGGCGACGACGAGGCACGCAGGCAGGCAACGAGCAAGCGGGCAGGCAGGCCGAGCGAGCACGCCGGGCAGACAGGTGGACGCAGGCACACGGAGCGTGCAAGAAGTCGACAGGACGTGCACCGCACCATACGACGACGTCGTCGTCGTCTTCGTCGTCGTCGTGGTCGTCGTCGTGGTCGTCGTCGTCGTCGTCGTGGTGGTCGTCGTCATCGTCGTGGTGGTGGTCGTCGTCGTGGTATGGTACGGTGCACGGGCGCCGTACCATTACTTCACTCTGGCACCGCGTGGACTCTTTGGCCCTGAAGGATGGTAGCTTTCCGACAGCGCAGGCCATTCAGTATTGGCCGATCTCAGGCCGCTGGCGGCGTTTGACCTGGCATACCCGCGCTGGGGTCGCAGCCGCGTCGACATGACACGAACCTGCAGTACAGTCGAGCTTGTCTGGAGAGGACACGCGAGGGGGGATGCACGACTCTTGCTCACGACTCTTCCTAGGACAACTCGACTCCCAAATGCAGGTGTCCTTGCCCCCTGAAACGCACAGGACATGAGAGGCGATGCACGGGACACAAGGGCACGACTGATTTGGCACGGCTCCCTTGCTGATCAATATCGACTTTACTCGTATGTCGGGTGTCCAATGTTCGGGGGAGCAATCACAGGAGGAGGAGGCGGAGGAGGGAGGATCGAGGAGGAGGAGGAGGAGGAGGAGGAGGAGGAGGAGCAGGAGCGAAGACGAGGAGGAGCGAAGATGAGGAGGAGGAGGAGGAGGAGGAGGAGGATGAGGAGGAGGAGGAGGAGGAGGAGGAGGAGCGAGGAGGAGGAGCGAGGAGGAGGAGCGAAGAGGAGCGAGGAGGAGGGGAGGAGGCGGAGGAGGAGGAGGAGGAGAGGCGGAGGAGGAGGAGGAGGAGGAGGAGGAGGAGGAGGAGGAGGAAGGAGGAGAGCCGAGGAGGAACGAAGAGGAGCGAAGAGGAACGAGGAGGAGGAGGAGGAGCGAGGAAAGAAGGAGAGAGGATGGATGGATGATGATGATGATGATGATGATGATGATGATGATGATGATGATGATGATGATGATGGATGATGATGATGATGAGGATGATGATGAGGAGGAGGAGGAGGAGGAGGAGGAGGAGGAGGAGCGAGGAGGAGGGGGGGAGGAGGAGCGAGGAGGAGGGAAGGAGGAGCATCTGGCACGCCGCCGCGGGGGGCCCATCGGCGCGCTGCTGCTGAAGCGGTGCGGCGCCGCCGGACACGCGGCGGGGTGCAGGTGACACTTTCGGGGGAGCGTCAGGGGGGGGACTGGCTCAGGGGGGGGGACTGGCTCGATCTTCTCGGGGGGGACGAAAGGGGGGGATGGCACAGGGCAGGGCAAAGAATCAGCTCACGCAGCTGACTTTCCCAGCGCCTCCCCGCGCCAGGAGGCGCCCATGGATCGAGGAACGGGCCCGCCGGCGGGGCCGAAACCATTTGCCTGCAGCAGATTTCGTAGACCCCCCTTTCCCTATCCCCCCCTTCGTTCGGCCCGATCTTTTTGGAGCCCCTACACCAAATAGTGAGACATCAGGTGGTCACCTGGAATCTCCCCAAAGGCACCGCCAGGTTTTGGGACACGGGGTCACCGCCGGGTTTTGTGACTTCTGGACCCACCAGAGTTCGGGGCATCCTCGTCCACAAACTGGGTGGTGGCACCAAATCGCCCGAGACTCACCGCTGGGTATTGTCACCATCACGTTTGGGGACTACCAAATCTTGAATCGGCGACGCATCGCCGATCGACCGGCGACCGGCCCCCGGCATCGAATCTGCACGGTCCTGCATGGGCCCTGTCATCGGGCTCCCAAGCTCTGATCAGTGGACGATTGGGAGTCGATGCGCCCACCCTGAGCCCGTCCCCCCTCTGACAACGCTGCCCCTGCACTCGTCAACATGGTTGAAGCAGGCGGGTCCCAAGGGAACCGGGCCCTGGAGCCTGGGGCCCTCCCCCTCCTGCTTCTCCTGCTCATCCTGCTCCTCCTCCTGCTCCTGCTCCTGCTCCTGCTCCTGCTCCTCCTCCTCCTCCCCCTATTCCTTTTCCTCTTCCTCCAGCTCCTCCTTCTTCTGCTCCTTCCCCTCCTTCTCCTCCTCCGTCTGGCAATCCCTTGGGCCGTCTGGAGGCTACTTTGGCGTCTTCGACCGATGGTTCGGCGATTCGGGGCCCTCTTCCGACGTCCCCGGGGCCCGTGGAGGGCCCCGAGGGCCCGCACACGGCACGAGACAGCCCCGGGGCCCGCCTCCCTCGGGACCCGCCTCCCCCAGGGCGAACCCTTCTCTCTCTCTCTCTCTCTCTCTCCCCAACTCGGGCGGGCGGTGAGGGGGGACTGGATTGGACTGGACCACCTGTGCGAGAGGGCTCCCTGCTCAGGTGCACGCGGCTTATGCTCAGCATAATTGAGCTCTCGATCAGCGATGCTACGGCGCGATACCCCTAAAACCTGCGAGCAGGCTTCCTGGGGCGGTGAGGGGGGGTGAAGAGAACGGCCCCTTTGGTCGGCGACTGCAAGGGGTGCGGTTTGCGGAGTGTGAGGTTTGCCTCCCGTCATATCTGCCCCTCCCGCCCCCGGGAAGCGGATGACACGGTCACTCAATGCGACCGAATCGCATGACACTGTCACTCCTAAGACAATGGCGTGCACACATCGGGGATGTCAGTGTCGCTCGGAACGACGACAGCTATGACATTGCCTCTCACAAAGGCCCCGGAGAGGCCGCCACAAAGCACAACTCGCAAACCGCACCCTGGCGTAACCGCACCGATTGTGCTGCTGCGTGAAGCCCCGGTTATAGCCGCTGTAGGCGTGGCCACCCTCCGTTGCTTTAGCTTCACTCGTCGCTGCGTGCCCCGCTTTGACTGGACTCGCCTCCCGCGCGCTCCCCCGCGGCCGCTGACTAAAAGAGCACTCCTGATTTCGTAATAAAAGGGAGGGGGTCTGGACCCTCCAAGATAAGCCATTTCAGACCCCCCCCTGGGGGAGAGCCCTCCAAAACGTCGTCCCCAGACCCCCCCAGGCCCTCCAGGATAGCCTGGAAGAGACCCCCCCCGAAATGAGACCCCCTGCCTTTTCATTACGAAGTCTGGAGCAACCGCACCGATCGTAGTCGCCGCTTCGGGGCCCCTCTCTTCGCCCCCCGTGGCCGCCCGTGGCCGCCCCGGAGGAGGAGGGAGGAGGAGGAGGGAGGAGGAGGGAGGAGGAGGAGGGAGGAGGGAGGAGGGAGGAGGGAGGAGGGAGGAGGGAGGAGGGAGGAGGGAGGAGGGAGGAGGAGGAGGAGGAGGAGGGAGAGGAGGAGGAGGAGGAGGAGGAGGAGGAGGCCTGGCGCCCTCGGCGCGCCGCCCGATGCCGCGGGGGCGAAGCCCCCCCCCGCGCCCGCGCCGCCAGATGCCGCGGGGGCGAAGCCCCCCCCCGCGCCGAGGGGGGCCTATGACGGTGAAGGTCTGGGGCTTCGAGGGCTGCAGCTTCTTGGAGATGCCGAAGTCCACGAGCTCGCCACAGGGGGCGGCGGCGGACCGCCACCGGGGGGGGGGAAGGGGGAAGCGGAGCGGGCTCGGAGGGGAGCGCGCCCGGGGGGCTATTTCGGCCGTGCGCGGGCTCATCGGGGCCCTCCGCGGGCCGGGGGACCGCGAGGAGACGAGCCAGGATGGAGGTTGCACCAGCCTGGAACATACCCCTACCCCTCTGCTGGGCATCTCCTCATCACGATGCCAACCTCAGGGATTCCCTCGTTTTTGGGGGGCGCATCCCTAGGATTGTCATCGCGTTTTGGCGTGTCGATCGTAAGGATAGGGATGCAATCGAGGCAGGTTAGAAGGGCCCGTCCTGGGGAAGGCCCCATGGCCCAGGGACCGCTTCCCTCGGGGACCCGCCTGCTCCAACCATGCTGAAGAGTTCAGGGGCAACGATGTCAGAGAGGGGGGACTGGGCTCAGGGTGGACGCATCGACTCCCAATCGCCCACTGATCAGAGCTTGGGAGCCCGATAACAAGGCCCATGCGGGGTCGGGTACCCACTTCCCTATGCTGAACAGACGAGGGCGACGGCGGCCCCACCGGACTCGAAGAGCGCCCCGCGGGGCCGCGAAGACTGTGCGGGGCGTGCCGGGACGAGTCGGCATCGCCACACGAACGACCCCAGCGGGGCAGTGGGGGGAGCTCCATGTGGGGCCACGACGCGAGGGAGGGATGTGCCAAGGTGAGGCCGTGCCGCCATGCGTACGACCTCACTGCCGCCCTGGGTGAACCTTTCCATGGGGCCAACGGAACGGTTGAGGGGTGTACCGAAATGAAGCGGCGCCGCAACACGTACGACCTCATTGCCGCCGTGAGTGGAGCTCTTCAGGGGGCAACGGAACGGTTGAGGGGTGTGCCGAAATGAGGCGGCACTGCCACATGGGCGACTCCACTGGGCCATTAGGTGAAATCCCCGATTGGGCCACGACGCGTGTAAGGGGCGTCGACATGAGGTTGCGCCGCCATGCGGACGACCTCTTTGAAGCCGTGGGTGGAGCTCCATATAGTGCCACGAGACGAGTGAGAGGCACGCCGAAATGAGGCGGCGCCGCCATACGCACGACCTCGCTTGTGCCGTAGGTGGAGCTCCCTGTGGGGTCACGAGGCGCGTGAGGGCTGTGCAAAAATGAGAGTACGGAGAACAACGCCAGGACGAGGCAGAGGACGAGTGCGGAAGCGCGAGTGAGGCGATGCGGGGCGCTGCGGATGCACAACGAGGACGCACCAACCCACGAGGGACGATGCCAAAGCGCCGACCCAAGAAATCCGCGAACCTCTGAGCGTTGATGTTTATGCATTTCCTTCATCTTTGGGTCCACCTTCACCGATGGACGGCCACGCCGACATGAACCTGGCCAACGTCGGCGCACGGCAAATTCGTGTCGTGACGACCTCGGCGCTGGTCTCTGATCGGGGAGACGTAAGACTTGAAGTGGGGGGACTCGGGTTTACCCGACGGGGCCATCATGAAACTGACTAGACCCAATCTCAAATTTGGCCCGAACTCCCGCTGCAAACATTCCATGAAAACCGAACCGTGCGTCAAAAACGTCGGCAAACCCGAGTCACGGCGTACAGTCGGACCTAGGCCAGAAGAACATCCTTCAAGACCATGGGACCTCTGTTGACCAAAACAAACAAAGCATCCAAGGGTATCCTCCCCAAGATGCACAAGGGCATCCAACAAACACGAAAAACATTAGGGTACCCTCCCCAAACCAACCTCGATCTTATACCTCGATCCGACTGTACTCGCGTCGACGTTTCCCCGATCTGACACCGCGTCTATCGTTCAACTCCGAAAGACCACGGCCTTACGCCGCAGGTCGCTCGATGCCTGGCGCTTACGGGCCACTGGCGGCGGTCAACCTGGAACGCTTCCGCTCATGTCGCCACCGCCGCGTAGACACGACACAAACCTACCGTGTGTGGATTGTCAGGGTCCCCCACCGATCAGAACTTGGTGGTGCCGACCCTGTGGACGCATTATCACGATTACTTTTGTTATTGTTGAGCTCTGGTGTCTAAATAACAGTTATTATAGGTTATCTCATTTCCGGTGCTCATGTTTTTCCTATCAAGTGCGCCCCTCGACGCTTATGTCTTGGTTGCTGTACTTTTATATTTCAGGGAGGCCTTCCTGATAAAAAAAACTGCTTTGTTGGCCCCTGGACTGCAATAGCAATGGCTCCATCCAAATTCAAAAACTGTTCGCGCTCTCGCTCGAGTTCCTTGCAATGTACTCAAGAATCGCACTCTTGCCTGAGATCTCATCGGAGCTTATCAGGGGGTCGCGCTCACGCCTGAGACTTCTGGACAACTTGCTCAGGATTCGCCCTCGCCTGGGTGCCTCTCTGGCAACTTATTCGAGGGGGCGCGCCATTGCCACCCGAGCACTGTGCTCCTGAGGGCTGCCTCAGAAGGTGCTCCGGGAAGAGCTTACGAAATTGCTCAGGTTCTCGACCCATTCCCCAGAACCAGCTGGATCGCTTCCTGAGCGCCCCGAGGTCGACCGAGGGCCCCTGGAGGCAGAACAGCAGATGCTTGTAGCGATGTCTTGCCTGTCTCGAGGCAGGCCCGAGCTGCACCGAACCGCGAGATCGGAACGGAACGGACCATCCACAAATCGTCGCGGGGCGGATCGCGATCGGATCGCCGCACACGGCCTTTTGCGGGCGCTGGCCGATGCTAGTGAACCGATCCGAACCGAACCGAATCGAAATCACGGCCCAAGCCAGGGAATCGAATCGCATCGAGTCGCATCGCGTCGGATGGCAGGCGGCCCTGTCGAGTACGTGCGGCGGCGAAAAATTGCGGTTGCGGCGGCGACAAGGCCGAGGCCTTCAGGTAGCCCTGGGCGTCCAGCATCACGTTCTCGGGCTTCAAGTCCCTGTTCGCGGCGGGCTCGCAGCCGCCGCCGTCGCCGTCGCCAATGCCGTCGCCGTCGCCACCCTCGCCGACGCCGACGCCGACGCAGACGCCGTCGCCATCGCCGTCGCCGTCGCCGTCGCCGTCGCCGTCGCCGTCGTCGTCGTCGTCGTCGTCGCCATCGTCATAGTTATTAGCGGTCGTCGCCGTCGTCGTCGCTGCCGCCGTCGCCGACGCCGTCGCCGTCGCCGTCGTCGTCGTCGTCGTCGCCATCGTCACCCTCGTCACATTTATAAGCGGACGTCGTCGTCGCCGTCGCCGTCGCCGTCGCCGTCGTCGTCGTCGTCGGCGGCGTTCTCATCGTCGACGTCACAGTTAGCCGATCAAGGGTCGAGTATCGATTCAGCGCGTATGAGCACAACAATTTCTGCACTGTTGGGGCCACCGAAGACGCCCCGCGGAGCCACGGCTGGATCGGCCTCGGAATCCTGGGCAGAACGAGCCCCAGACGGGGGTTCGCGTCGTTGTCGCTCTCCTCCCCTCTACACCGAGCCCAGGACCCGTTCTTTGGCGCGCCAGGGTCAAAAGATACAGAAACGCAGAAACTCGGACCAAAGCAACGCCCCTCCTGGAAGCGCGCTCTGCTCACGGAGAATCCTGTGCGCCGTGGGCGCCTCCTGTGGACCTCTGCGGGGGCCTCTGGGCCACAGCCCGGCCTGGCGTGCCTTTCGCCTGGAAAAGCACGCTGTGCCAATGAGACCGCGTGCTCTCCAGGGCCTTGTCAGAGCCGGGCCCCCGTGCCGACGAGCCACGACGACGAGGTCTCATGACCCATCTTACAGTCGGGGGCTTGACCTAAGGAACCCTAAATAAGGAACGAGGCCCCTTTTTTCCAGAAGTTAAGCTTCGATTTCCGATCGAAAACATAAGGCAAACCAGAGGCAAGCTGCGAAACACTTAAGGAACGCGGAGCCCCTCCCCAACGAAAAGGGTTCCTTCTTCAGGGCCCCGACTGTACGGCCGTTGGGTGCCCTGCGGCTGTGCTGGCTCGCCTGCGCCGAAGCGAGGGGAAACTGGCGGCGGCGGCGTGCCGGCTCTGCCTCTGATGACGAGGGCACGGATGGTGTTCGATGATGATGCTGCTGCTGCTGCTGACGATGATGACAGTTACAATGATGATGGTAATGCTGCTGCTGCTGCTGATGATGATGATGATGATGATGATGATGGTCATGGTCATGGTCATGGTGACTGGTGCTGGTGCTGGCGCTGGTGCTGATGATGAAGATGATGATGAAGATGAAGATGAAGATGAAGATGAAGATGAAGATGATGATGATGATGATGATGATGATGATGATGATGATGATGATGACGATGATGATGATGATGATGATGATGAGGATGATGAGGATGATGCTGATGCTGATGCTGCTGAGGATGCTGCTGATGATGACGATGATGCTGCTGCTTATGATGACGATGATATTGGTGACGATGATGTTCCCTGGTGCTGTGCTGATGCGCGTGAATCTCGGCGGTGGACAAACCTCCCTTTAGCGAATCTTCCCTTAGTGAAAACGGCCTGGGACCGAAACCGACGGACCTGGACCCGCAAAAATGACGGCCGCGACGCCTTCTCGCGAACCGAAAACGGCCAATTCCTGAATCGACGTGTCAGGGCAGGAGGTTTGTCCGCCCCCGAGAATCTGCGCAGCTCCCCCGAAGAACGTCCGCGCCGATGTCTCGGGTCGGCGCTCGTCCCCCCCCCCAACAGGCGGCGCCTCCGGCGCCTGCCCCAAAGGGGCCCCCTCCCAGGAACTCCGCGCGGACCTCCTCAGGAGTCTGCCCGCGCCGTGCTCTGGTGCTCCGACTCCTGCAGCTCCTCGCCCCCCCCTCCCCATCGCTCTCCTGCTCCCTGCGGGACTCCCGACCGATGATCCTTAGAGCGTGTCTCAGCGCCAACGCGTGCTGGTCCACCCGAGCCCTCCAAGCACGACGCAGGCGGTGTCAGGAGGCCCGCCACAGGCTGTGCGCTGTCGGTGGAGGTGAGCGGGGGAACCTCTTTGGGCTCGCGGGCACCAGCTGGTGCAGGACGGCCCGGCGCCGGTCAAGGCAAGCGGTGGGGTGCACCAGAGGCGAACCGAGGCACGACAGCGGGAGGGAAACGAGCGCGAGAAGAGAGACGAAGGGGCCCCGGGACACACAAGTAAAGACACACACGAATAAACAAAATCCCCATATTTCCCTACATTTTCTGGGATTGTGTCGCCCCCCCCACTTCCCACATTTCCAATTTTTTTCGGGGGCATCGACGATGAATTGTGTCTGTGTGTTTTTTCTCGGGAGCGGCCAAGAGGGGGGTGTCCAAGAGGGGAGGGTGCAAATCTTGACCGGCGGCACGTGCGCGGCCCAGCGGGGGGGCCAGGGACGTAATGAAATAAGAAGGGGCGCCATGCAATCTGGGGAAATATCATGGCCCCCGCCATGAGATCCACCCCCCCTAGTCATCACCACCCTCTTTTCCGCCCCCGATGTTCCCCTCCGGAAGAAAGCAGGGGCCGACACACTCCGAGCCAGCACACGCTCCGAGCACCACCGCTCCGCACGGGCCACGCGCGCGGCCCCGCGCCCCCGGGGGCGCGGGAGGCGCCGGTACACGATGAAGCGGTCCGCCAGCGCCTCGCGGCCGCTGCCCGCCACGGGCACCGCGGCTGCCCCGTCCTCCGCATCTGCCGTCTCCGCCGCTTCCACCTCCGCCTCCGCCTCCGCCTCTGCCGTCCCCGCCGCTTCCATTTGGACGCCCGACATGGGTACGGAAAGAATGGGTACAATGCCCAACAACAGATGTTGTCCCAAACCAACAGCGGCCGCTGTTGGGCAGGCGTCCTTATGTCTTGAATGGGCACAGGCCGCGGCGGCGTGGACAGCGAGTCCTGTTCAGAATGAACAAGATCCGCTGTTGGGCATTGTACCCGTTCTTTCCGTGTCCATCTCGTTCGTGCAGATTTCACCTCCGCCTCCGCCTCCGCCCCCACCTCCTCCGCCTCCGCCCGCCCCTGGATCCGCCGCCGCCGCCGCCTCCGCCTCCTCCGCGGCCCCTGGCGCCCCCGCCGCCTCCGCAGCCTCCTCTGCCTGCCCCCACCTCCATAGAGAAGAAACTGACCGTTGCGATGCACCAGTCGCGCCCTAGCTTGGTGGGCATGGCCCCCACCGGCTGTCTGGAGGCCGATGCCCGCCGAGGCCTGGGACCAGGTTAGGCCTGTGGAGTCTTGGCGGTGCTCGGTGTCCCTCTCTCCAGACCTTGTCCGCGTCGCCTCGGAGGACGCCAACTACACAACTGCACCAGTCATGGCCAGGCCCATCCTGGACCCACGGCTCGATTTTCCGAACAACGACTCGTTTTGACGACGTGAGAAATGGTACCGCGCGAGATCGAAACAAATGAGTTGGTAAACACTCCTACCGCAGACCAATGCTTGCTCCAGAAGCGCCGCCAGGGGATGCAGCGCCGATCCGAAACATCGGAGCAGACATCCCCATGCTTATGTTTATGCCAATCTCGGTTCCCCGATGAACGATCCCTGGGATTTGCGGCGCGCACGAGGAGGTTCGAAGGAGGGGGGAAGGCATCTCAGAAGGAGGCTACTTCTGACAAGGCCGAGAAGCCGTGGGGTGCTTCCAGGAAGCCGCAGCCTCCCCCCCCCCACCCCGACCCCCCTCCTGCGCGTGGCCGACCGCTCCCCCGGGCGCGGGCCTCCAGGACCAGCACCAGGGAGCCGGTGTAGAACTGCGACTGGACGCGGGACCTCGGGGCAGGCAAACCGCCGCCGGCGCGGGTCTGCCCGCTGCGGCCGCCGCGGCCGCGAAGAGTGCCGCCGTGGGGCTTCGCCGGCGCGCGGGGCTCTGCCGGCGCACCACCCACGCGAGAGCTGTGAGGAGCCCGATCGCCACACGCCTTCCCTTTCCGATTATGCTCCTGCTCTCGTGTTGGACGTGGACAGGGCCGAACCGAAACAGTGCTTTTCGTTGTCGTCCTGTTTTCGCTTTCCCTCGTGTGGTCTTCGGTCCACCTCTACCGCAAAACGAAGCCGAAACGAAAACGGCCCACGAAATCGCCAAGACACCGTTTAGGTCCAGCCCTGGACGATGATCGGACGTCCATCGGCTCGGATAGCAGGGAGGAAGCGCCACTCGGAGTTCCGGGGGGGCTCCGCTTCTCGGGCCTCGCCACCGCACCTCTCGTGCGCACGGCTTCTGTCTGTCTCTCTCTCTCTCTCTCTCTCGTTCCCTCTGCCTCCGTTGGGGGGGGGGAGGGTCCTGACAGCACCTCGCAACGCTACGTGCAGGGGCGGAGGAAGGGAAGGATGGGGGGACGGGGGGTGGTCGGTCGACGTCGAACGGGTGGCGCGTCGGTCACGAAGATATGCCCGTTGTAGATTTGAGGCGCTACCCACCCAAGAGCCCCAGCTTCTCCACACTCAAACATTTTTCAAGCTTTTGACGCATTGATTGCGCTCAGCCTCCAGTGCAGTCAGGCGGTCTCCGAAACCCCAATCCCCCTTCCTCCTGCTCCTTGAGCCGTCTACCCGACCAGCTTACTTGGAGCTCCTTTCCAGACCCTGGACCTCGCAGAGGCCCCGACAACAAACTGGATCCTCCAGAGGCCTCCCGACTTCACTAACATCTTCCTCATCCGACCTCCTCCTGCTGCTTGGTCACCGCCTCCTCCAGCCCTTTTTCCAATCACTAGCTCCCCCCTGTCGCATCGCCAGACGTGTCCCGAAGACCAGGCCGGGCGTTTCGCCTGCAACGTCTTTGCAAACACTTCCAACAACAACTACGCGACCGAAGAGCCACACATACCTAGTTTGACACCCTGTGTCGATCATCGGTATTGCTACTACTACTACTACTACCACCACTACTGCGGCCACTACTAACACAATCCCTACTTCTGCTGCTACTGCTAGTGCTACTGCTGCTTTTACTACTACTACTACTACTACTACTACTACTACTACTACTACAACTACAACTACAACTACAACTACTACTACTACTACTACTACTACTACTACTACGACTACAACTACTACTACTACTACTACTACTACTACTACTACTACTACTACTACTACTACTACTACGACTACTACTACTACTACTACTACTACTACTACTACTACTACTACTACTACTACTACTACTACTACTACTACTACTACTACTACTACTACTACTACTACTACTACTACTACTACTACTACTACTACTACTACTACTACTACTACTACTACTACTACTACTACTACTACTACTACTACTACTACTACTACTACTACTACTACTACTACTACTACTACTACTACTACTACTACTACTACTACTACTACTACTACTACTACTACTACTACTACTACTACTACTACTACTACTGGAACCACTACCACTGCCATTATTGAGCGGACAGGGAAATATAACATCAACTTTCCAATTTTTTGCATAACGTGGTCCCCCCATAGGGTGGTTCCCCCCTCTCGAGGCACATCAATGCCAGCGTTGGTGGAGGTCTCGCCTCGCGACCAGCTGCCCCGCTGGCTGGTCAGCGCCGTCGATGGCCCCCCCTCGGGGGAGCGGTCTACGAGTCCGTAGGCGGAATCAAACTTGTTCTCGCCACCTCCCGAATGATGGGCCCCGAGCGTTCGCGACGGCCGCCAAGGGCAAGGGCGCCCGATCGACGACCACGAAAGGCTTCAAAAAGTTGATACCTCTCAGACGCAACAGGGGTCGAAGACACACAAAGGGCCCTGTGTGGGCCAGAAAACATGCGTTCCCTGAGAAATAGCAGCAGTCACGCAAAATCTTCGTACAACGATTTCAAGGTGTCGGTCGGCCTAGTGGGCCCTGCCTCATCTGAGGGGGAGCTGGGACACGCAAATAAATGGACACAAATGACCAGATGCCCCATAGTTGTCCATATTTTTTAGGTGTTTGTCCTCCCCCCCCGCTTCCCCATTTTTTCGGGAGAATCGACGATTAATTGTGTCTGTGTGCTTCTTTCCCTCCTGCCTCATCGGGCCCCCGGGCGTCGCAGACGAGGCCGAGCGGGCCATCGCGCGCCTGCCCGCTGCCCGCGACCTGCCCGGCCCCGCCGGCCAAAGGCCAGCGCCGCTTGGCGCCTCTCGGGTTAAGTCGGGCCTGTCCCCCTACAGCGGGTTTTTCGACCAAAAATAAAAAATAATACTAAAATAATCCCAAAATAGTCCAAAAATAGTCTGGGGACTATTTTCTGCATATTGTTTGACCTCTTTGGGGTATTTCGTCGAAAATCCCCCTGTAGGGGGACACGCCCGACATAACTCTCGGGTTCCATGCGGGTCGGGGGCGAGTTGGGCAGACGTTGAGATGTCCGACGCGCGACGCAAAACCCGCTGGGTATATTTTTCTCGAGTGGTGCATGGCAAAAACACATGGACAGGTTCACTTTATGCTGCTTGTCGTCCCTACCACTTCCGGCGCTGCTGCGACAAGGGCGTCCACAGCGACAGCAAGACAGACAGAAACGATCGAGCCAACATCGAACCTGAAACCGCACGCCTCCTCTTCCTCGACAAAGTCCCAGAAACCTCCAGAGGCTGCCCGGGGTAAGAAATCTGAAGACGCACAGAGACCTGAATCCTCCTTGTCCTCTGCCCCCAGATCCTCGGGAGGCGCCTGGACCTCCACGCGCATTTTGTGTCCCGACGACGTGTTCAGGTGCTGCGCGCCCCCCAGTGTCGAAGAACTGCCGCGCCTGCCGTGTCGTGCGCGCCTGCCGCGGATAGAGACCGCACCCCTTGTGCACACGCCCTCTGGCGTCGAAACAGTGCTACACCCGCCGTGCCCTGCGCGCCTGCAACGCATAGAGACCGCCCCCCCGTGTGCACCCCCTCTGGCGTCGAGAAACGGCCACGCCTGTCGTGCCCTGCGCGCCTGCGACGCATGGACACCGCACCCCCTGTGCAACCCCTGTGGCGTCGAGACGGTGCCACGCACACCGTGCCTGCGAACCTGCAACGGATAGAGACCACACCCCTTGCGCACGCCCTTCTGCTATCGAGAGAGGCCTACTCCCGCCGTGCCCTGCGCGCCTGCAACGCATGGAGACCGCCCCTCCTGTGCACCCCCCTCTGGCCTCGAGAAAATGCCACGCCGCGCCGTGCCCTGCGCGCCTGCAACGGATAGAGACCGCACCCCTTGCGCACGCCCTTCTGCTGTCGAGAAAGGCCTACGCCATCCCTCTGAAGGCCAACGCCCGCCGTGCCGTGCGCGCCTGCAACGCAAAGAGACCGCACCCCCTGTGCAACCCCTCTGGCGTCGAGAATGTGCAACGACGCGCCGTGCCCTGCACGCATGCAACGCAAAGAGATCGCACCCCGTTAGCACACCCCTTGGATGTCGAGAAAGGCCTACGCCCACCGTGCCCTGCGCGCCTGCGACGCCTGGAGACCGCACCCCCTGTGTACCCCCTCTGGCGTTGAGAAAGTGCCACGCCTGCCGTGCCACGCCTGCCGCGCCTGCAACGGATAGAGACCCCACGCCCGCCGTGCCCTGCGCGCCTGCGACGCATGGGGAACGCACCCCCTTGTGCACACCCTCTGGCGTCGAGAAAGTGCCACGCCCGCCTTGCCCTGCGCACCTGCGACGCATGGAGACCGCACCGCTTTGTGCACCCCCTGTGGCGTCGAGAAAGTGCCGAGCCTGCCGTGCCCTGCGCGCCTGCAACGCATTGAGACCGCTCCCGCTGTGCAAACCCTCTGGTTGCGAGAAAGTGCCGAGACTGCCGTGCCCTGCGAACATGCAACGACTGGAGACCGACTCCCGTCGCACCCCCTCGTGGTGTCGAGGAACTGCCTCGCCTGCCACGCCTTGCGAGCCTGCAACGCATAGAAAGCGCACCCACTGCGCACCCCAACCTGGAGCAAATGCCACGCCTGCCGCATTCTGGGAGAGTGTCGTGTTTTGAGGCCGCGCTCAGGGACCAGCCCCTGCGCGCCCCCCTCTGGCGTGGAGCAAGTGCCACGTCTGCCGACCCCTGCGCCATGGCCCGTGGAAGCGCCGTGTTCAGGAACCATCCCCTGCGCACCCCCTGCTGTGTGGATGATGTGCCGCGTTGTATGGTGTGCACGTGTAGCTGAAAGTGTGTGTGTGTGTGTGTTTGATGTGTGCGCGCGTGCGTTATGCATGCGAGCGTATCTCTGATAAGTGCATGAGCGAGAAAAAGGAGGAGGGAGAAGGAGGAGGGTGGCAAACGCGGATGCGACGCGGGTGAGAAGAAAACCCACACCCTACGAAGCACGTGGACAACAAGGATGGAAGCCCGGTCATTTTCAACATGCGGCTCTAGACTTATTAACGTCGCGCACATTCGGCTTAACAAATTCCAGCAATTATCAGAATGGAGCCCGGTCTTTTTCAAAATGCGGCTCCCGACTTAGTGTCGCGCACACTCGTCTTAATTCTCCTGGCGAGGGACCCTGCCACATGCAGTTGTGAGTACCGTCGTTGCGGATATCGCCTTCGGGGATCTCCTCATGGGGCCATAAAGCATGCGAAGGGTGTGCCGATATGGGGCGGGGCCGCCATGTGGGCGCTGCCACTGGGGCTTCAGGTGGAATCCACCATGGGGCCGCGAAGCGTGAGAGGGGTGCGCCGCAATGGGGGGGGCGCCACGGTGGAGCTCCCTATGGGGTCGAAGCGCTGTACTGAGTGGGGGAGACGCATGCGAACACAGCAAATAGGGCCGTAAGTGGAGCTCCCTATGGGGCCACGAGGTGTACTGGGTGGGGGCGACGCATGCAAACGCCGCCATTGAGGCCTTCGGTGGTGCTCCCTGTGGGGCCACGAAACGCTGCATCGGGCGGGGAGACGCATGTGAACACCGCTACTGAGGCCTTCGGTGGAGCTCCTAATGGGGTGGGGGGACCGCATGCGGACGGACATCGCCACTGAGGTCTTCGGTGGAGCTCCCTATGGGGCCACGAAGCGCTGTACTGGGTGGGGGAACCGCATGCGGACACCGTCACTGAGGCCTTCGATGAAGCTCCCTGTGGGGCCACACAACGCTGCACTGGGTGGGGGCAAAGCATGCGGACAACGCCAGGGAGGCCTCAGGTGGAGCTCGCTACGGGGCAACAAAGCGGTGTACTGGGTGGGGGCAACCGCATGCGGACACCGCCACTGAGGCCTTCGGTGGAGCGGGGCCACGAAGCGCCGTACTGGGTGGGGGAACCGCATACGGACACCGCCACTGAGGCCTTCGGTGGTGCTCCTGATGGGCAACGAAACGCTGTCCTGGGTAGCGGAAACGCATGCAAACACCGCCACTGAGGCCTTCGGTGGAACTCCCTATGGGGCCACAAAACGCTGTACTGGGTGGAGGGACCGCGTGCGGACAACGCCACTGAGTCCTTCCGTGGAGCTCGCTACGGGGCCGCGAATTGCCATATATATATATATATATATATACTCACTGGATGGGGGAGCATCATGCGGACACTGCCCCTGAGGCCTTAGGTAGCTCCGTTTGGGGCCGCGAAATGCTGTACGGAGCGGGGGAACCGCATGCGGACACTGCAACTGAGGCCTTCGGTGGAGCTCCCTTCGGGGATCTTCTGACCTGGGTCAATCCAGACCCGGGTCAGCAGGAAACCAAAACCTGCAGTGCAGGAAAAAAAAGCTGCAACGCAGGTCTTCGCAAACCCGAGTCAGCCGATAGGCGCGGCCGCCTCGCAGCCACGAGCGGCTCGCTAACCTGGGTCAGCCAGAGGTCTTCGCAGGATCCTGCAGGATCCGGTGCCGTAGCTGATCCCCGTCTGCATCGACCCCCGTCTCGAGGCTCCCGATCCATGTGGGGCCACGAAACGCTGTACCAGGTGGGGGAACTGTATGCGGACACCGCCACTGAGGCCTTCGGCGGGTGGAGCTCCCTATGGGGCCACGAAACGGTGCACTGGGTGAGGGAACCGGAAGCGGACACCGCCACTGAGCTCTTCGGTGAAGCTCCCTATGGGGCCACGAAGCGTTCCACTGGGTGGGGGGAACGCATGCGGACACCGCCATTGGGGACTTCGGCGGGTGGAGCTCCCTATGGGGCCACGAAACGGTGCACTGGGTGAGGGAACCGGAAGCGGACACCGCCACTGAGCTCTTCGGTGAAGCTCCCTATGGGGCCACGAAGCGCTGAACTGGGTAGGGGAACCGCATGCGGACACCGCCACTGAGGCCTTTGGTGAAGCTCCCTACGTTGCCACGAACCGCTGTACTGGATGTGGGCAACGCATAGGCCTTCGGTGGAGCTCCCTGTGGAGCCGCGAAACGTAAGAGGGGTGTGTCGAAGTGGTTGACTGGTGAGGAGGGCAGGGGTACGGACGGATAGGAGGAAGCAGGAGGGAGGAGGAAGTAGGAGAGGAGAGGAGAGGAGGAAACGCGGGGCGCTGTCTCTTCAAAACGGGGACCAAGCATCATAGGATGGTAGGGAAAAACGAACAGCTAGACGGGTGGGTGCTTTTCAAAATGCGGCTATCGCTTGAGACGCACTTGCGTTCTCTGATCCGAGGTTCCGAAGGGTGCATCATCTACTCGGATGGGGGGAGGCTCATTTACGGCATGGCTCTCTCTTGCGTAGGATTTCCTTAATTTCAGTGGCCCGAACTTCCGAATGCTGCCACAATTGGATGTGCGGATGGCGGCTCCGTTTGCATATTGGACCTCTCGCCTAAGACTTCCGCAGACTTGATAACCGAGGCATGGACCTTTGCGCAAGACTTTAGTCCTTGCCAATGCGAGGCTATCAGTGGACACTTCCTTCCACTTCTTCCCCCCACCTCTTTGCACTGAGGCCAGTCCACAAGGAACCTTCCACCCGAAACCCAATCCTGAGACCCCAGGGCGTCCACTGACGTTCGGTGTGGGAGCGTCACGCTTCCTATAACAACACCATCTCGAAACCCAAGACACCCAGAGCACCCTGGAGGCCAGCAGGGTGCTTCTCGGCACGGGTCTCCACTGCGCACCTCTGACCAGAAAAATTGCGGAGTCCCGAAACGGTGCGGTCACAGACCGTGCGGTGACCTTAAAATCCCGCAGGGCCTCGCCGCACCGTCCGCCACCGCACGGTCTTGGGACCTCGGAAGCCCCGGTCGTCGCCCGAGGCGTCCTCGGAGAACGACCCGAGTCCCAAGCATCGTGCGGTGACCCCGGATCCCCACCGACTCGCCGCACGGCGTGCCCACCACCCCGTTTGGGGGGCCGACGAAAACGACTGGAGGGCGGATCCTCTGCGACGGCGGGGCCTCTCGCCAGGAGCGCGGCAGGCCCAAGGGCCGCGCGTCGCTCCAGGGGGGGTGGGGGGGGGGGGGGCCTCCTCCTCCTCCCCTCCGCCTCCCCCCCCTCCCCCCCCCCCCTCCCCTCCCCTCCCCCCCCCCCCCTCCCCCTCACCCCTCCCCCTCCCCCCCTCCCCCTCACCCTCCCCCTCCCCCTCCTCCCCCTCCCCCTCCCCCCCCCTCCCCCTCCCCCTCCCCCTCCCCCTCCCCCTCCCCCTCCCCCTCCCCCCCCCCCCCTCCCCCTCCCCTCCCTCCCCCTCCCCCTCCCCCTCCTCCTCCTCCTCCCTCCTCCTCCCTCCTCCTCCTCCCCGCCTCCTCCTCCTCCTCCCCCTCCTCCTCCTCCTCTCCTCCTCCTCCTCCTCCTCCTCCTCCTCCTCCTCCTCCTCCTCCTCCTCCTCCTCCTCCTCCTCCTCCTCCTCCTCCTCCTCCTCCCCGCAGTGGAAAGCCGTGCTGGCCACTCGGAACGCGTGAGGAGGGGACTCTCTTGGGCTCTTTGGGCTCCCCCGTCGCGGCCGGGAAGAGGCAGGGAGGCGCTGGCCAGCAGGCCGGGTGTCCGCCCGCCCCCATGCAGAGGACGGAAGCGGTGAAGCCACTCGATCATTGGAGCAGGAAGGCGCTTACTCCAGATTTCATAATAAAAGAGAGGGGGTCTGGACCCTCCAAGACAAGCCATTTCAGACCCCCCCCCGTGGGAGAACCCTCCAAAACATCGTCCCCAGACCCCCCCAGGCCCGCCAAGATAGCCTGGAAGAGACCCCCCCCGAAATGAGACCCCCCTCCCTTTATTACGAAATCTGGAGTACTTAAATGGATTCGAATCTGGGAATCCACGAATCTGTACTTTCAACGACCTGTGGGTACTGCAGCATCGTTGATGACTCCTGGGCTTCCCATGGGCGATCTCCCTCCTCCTCCTCCTGCAACCCTCTTCCTCGCAGATACATGCGGACCTGGCCCAGAAGAGCTTGCTTCAAGAATCTGAGACCCTGCATCGGCCAAAACAAACAGAACATCCAAGGGTACCCTCCCCAGGATGCACAAGAGCATCCAACAAACACGAAGACATCCGGGCACCCTCCCCGAATCGACCTCGATCTTATGCCTCGGTCCGACTGTAGCTCTTCCCAGTCGCATCACCAGGCGCTTCGGTAGGGCGGGCAGGGCATTTCGCCTGAGACTCCCTCGCCCTTTATTGCCCTGAGGCCCAAAATCCCGAACAGGAGGATGAAGGGCACTCCACTTTCAAAATTGGGCTCTCGTCTTAGCGCCGTGTACACTCGCTTTGATGTTCAGCGACAGTCGCGAAGATGGAAGGCGGGACCTTTTCAACAGGGTCTCTCGCCTCATCGCAGCGCAAATGTGTTTTTAAACGATCGCAGTTCTAAGGATGGTGGGCGATTAATGTTTCAAAAAGAGGAGTATCGCCCTAGCGCTGCGCACATTCTGTGTCTATAAGGTTGCAATGATTACACGGATGGATATCGGAACCGTTTCGAAAGTGGGCTCTCGTCTCAGCGCCGCGAGCATCCGTCTTAAGCGTTAGCAGCAGATGCAAGGACGCAGGATATGTTTTCTCAGAATGGGGATATCGCTTGCGAGGGCCTTAACATCAAAACCAGAAGCCTGCACACATGTAAGAGCTGCACGGATGGTTGGCGGATCCTTTTCGAAATGGCCAGAAGTGAAAACTTCGAGCAGCTGTTGAACGGATGTGGCGCGGCTTCCTTTTTCCTTTGTTTCAAAACGGGGCTCTCGTTCGACACATCTGTGACCTTGATGATGATACCGCTTTGCGTCCCTTGCAACTCGCTGCACTGGTGCAGGGCTGTACGGGGCTGTCGCCTCCGTGGCAGAACCATAGGGTACCCATCTTTCTCAGGGAGGCGCTTCTCGTAGTGGCAAGGAAGATTTGTCAGGACCTCAGGCGAGGGGCCTTGGGCCGAGAATGGAGTGCTACAGCATGGTAAATGCATCCTGGGGTTACTGTGGCCATCCTCCTCCTCTGCCTCCTCCCTCTCCCCCTCCTTCTCCCCACTCTTCGCACAACCTCTCCTCCCCTCCCCTCCTCCTCCCGGCTTTCCCTGCTCCCTGACCGTCCCCGTTCTCGCCCTCGCCTTCGTGCTCCCCCTCACCCTCCACCTCGTCTTCCTCCGCATCCTCCTCCTCGTCGTCTACGCCTCCTTCCCCCCGTCTTCGCTTCCTCCTCCTCCTCCTCCTCCTCCTCCTCTTCCTCGCCCTCGTCGTCTCTTCCTCGTGGCCCCCGAGGGCTTCCGAGAGGCCGCCGAGAACACCTCCGAGCATCCGCGGGCGGCCGCTGGGCGCCGGCGCAGCACCGTGGGGATCTTGCGGATCGCCGCGTGCAGCTCGCCGCCTCGGGCCCCCCCGCTCCGCCGCCGTGGCCGCCGCCGCCGAGGCGCCGCCCTCACCGCCGCCTCCGTCGTCCTCCACGGGGCCCAAGACGTCAGCGGCCACCCCCAGGCATCGGCAGGGGCCTCCTGGAGGGGGTCCGAGCAGATGGGGTCGGAGCATCGCGCCGCATCGCATCGGCGACGCCGGCGTGGGAAACTGCGGTCACCACATCGGGCCGCATCGTCGGAGCAGGCACCGGCGATGCGGCGCGGCCCTTCGCCCCCATCTGCTCGGACCCCACCCGGGAGGCCCAGGAGCCGGGGGGGGCTCGGAACGAGCGGGGAACCGCCGCCGTGGCCGCCGCCGCCGAGGCGTCGCCCGCACCGCCGCCTCCGTCGTCCTCCACGGGGCCCAAGACGTCAGCGGCCCCCCCCAGGCAACGGCAGGGGCTCGAACAAGCAGCGGGACGGCCGGCCTGCCGTCGCCTCGGGCCCCGGGCCCGTCGAGGCACGGCTCGGGACCCTCCTCCTCGAACTCCTGCTCCTGCTCCTGCTCCTGCTCCTGCTCCTGCTCCTGCTCCTCCTCCTCCTCCTCCTCCTCTTTCTCCTCCTCTTTCTCCTCCTCTTTCTCCTCCTCCTCCTCCTCCTCCTCCTCCTTTATTCCTTCCCCTTATAGACACTCCTCCCTGGCGCACCCCGAGGCCAGCTTTTAGGGCGGGGCGAGCGTTTCGCCTGAGACTTCCTCGCCGTGTATGGCTCTGAAGCTTACAAAGTGAAACCAGCTTCACAGATGGAGGGCGGGTCGTTTACAAAGTGTGGCTCTCGCCTCAGCGCCGCCGCGCACATTCGTTAAAAAACAATCCAAGAGTTTCGCGGATTGAGGGCGGGTGGTTTTCAAAATGTGGCTATCGCCTCAGCGCCGCGCACATTCCTTTTAGAAATTTGCAACGAGTTTCGCGGATTGAGGGCGGGTGGTTTTCAATATGTGGCTATCGCCTCAGCGCCGCGCACATTCTAGAAATTTGCAAGAGTTTCACGGATTGAGGGCGGGTCGTTTTCAATATGTGGTTCTCGCCTTAGCGCCGCGCACATTCGTTTCAAGCATGCATTTGCAAAAGTTTCACGGATTGAGGGTGGGCCGTTTTCAATATGTGGTTCTCGCCTTAGCGCGGCGAAATTCGTTTTTAAACATTTGCAAGAGTTTCACGGATTGAGGGCGGTTCCTTTTCAAAATGTGGCTCTCGCTTTCGCGCCGCGCACATCTGTTAAACAATTGCAAGAGTTTCACGGGTTCCCATGATCAACGTACCAATAATTGAGTTTTGGAAGAGTTCCGGATTATGCGGGTGCAACAATTACGTTGATTCGCGGTGTTGAGATCAAGAACATGGCGTTCTGGTACGATTCCGGATCGCCAAAACGCACGCAGCAATCAGGTTGATATGTGGCGTTGAAATCCCGATAGCAATGTTTTGGAATGCTTCAGGATATTCAAACGGTCGTCCTCCAACGATTCAGTTCCCTCGATGGAAATAAACCGTTGTAGGGGCCTATGAAGAGGGAGCTTGGAGGGAAGGTTACTTCCAACATCGTTGATGACTCTTGGGTTTACACTGGTCCTCCTCCTCCTCATCCTTCTCCTGCTCCTCCTCCTCCTGTTCCTGGTCCTCCTCCACCTCCTCCTCCTCCGCCTCCACCTCCTCCACCACCGACAGAACGGTAACCCGGGTGTCTGGGAACGAAGTCCGCCACTGTGCCGCGAGGCTCCGAGAGGAGTCCTCGGGTCCCCTCGGGGCCTCGGCGCCGGGAGTCGTAAGTGCTCCTTCGATGGCCCCCCCGTTCCAGGCGCCCCGGGGCGCTCTCGGGGTGCGTCGCATGGCCTGTGAGAGGCCTTGGGGGCGTGCCTGGGGGGCCCAAGGAGGGCCCCCAGAGAGGAAATTGAACTGGCATGTGGAGCCCTCCACCCCAGGATGACGTCCGAAACCGCCAGGAAGCCAAGAAGAAGCTGCCCTACGCCACCAGGAGATCCCCATGGCCAGGACGGGGGGGGTCTGGCGCATCATGGTTTTGGGGCATGTGCGCCGACGAAGGGGGGGGGCTGGGGGCACGTTGAAACAAGAGGGAGGCCTGACACCTGGGAGATCCATGGCCCTGGCTACAATACCCCACACCCCCTAGTCCCCATCCCCCCTCTCCGATGCACCCGAAGACGGCCCTCCGCAGGTCGGGCCCCCTCCCTGGTGGCCAGTGATGAGCTCGGTCAGCATGTAGACGCTCTTGGAGGTCTCGAATGTCTTGACCTGCTCGGGGCGGTGGTGCGGACGAGGCCCCGAGACCCCGCGGGTCGGGCGCAAGGGGGGGGGGGGGGGGACGGGGAAGCCAGATGTTACAGATACCAACCTAGCGAATTCAGCGCCCGCCTCATTTCTGGTCCTCTCCAGGCTCATGGCGTTCGTCCGATTATGTCTCTGGAGCTGGATCTTGTAGTCGGCAGTTTTATGTTCGCATGCGTCGAGTTCTTCGCGCGTGTTTCTGACTTATTTCGATACGTCCGACAACGCAACTTCGTGCATTGATATCACGTCGATAGCTGTACAGGATTGACCATCCGTGTCATTTAGCTGCTCTTGGGAGGCAACGTGGTTAATCGTTGTACAAGTCACAGTGGCTGCGACTTCTGACATCTGAGTTTTGACCTGTGCCAGCTCATTGTTCTTCGCGAGCTGTTTCGCTCGCAAGACCACAGCCTTGCCTGTAGCTTATGCTGCACGTCATCCAACTGCTTTGTCCAACATGTACTGCGCCCCTGTTCGGGTCCAATTTGTTGTTTGAATCGTCGGCTGAAAACCGTAAGCGGAACAGAAAGGTAGTTTCTGCTACTCTGTCTGCGGTTGCGCCGAATCCTCGTCCCTGTCGCCCGGGAAACAAGGGAATCGACGGCCGCGCGAGTGTCGGCATCGATAACTGGGCGGACGGTCTGTGGCTGCCTGGACAAAGTGGGCCGCCACCCGAACTTTGCTGCAACGGACAACAATTGCCAATCGCCGTGCCCATGGTTGGCTCTCGCGTGTTCTATGAAGGTGCTTCGGAGAGCCCGGATCATATCTCTCTCGTGCCCTTGCAGACTAATATGTTGTTGCCTGATCTGTCCTGCAATGCAATTTGCACATTCAGCGGGCCACTCGGCAGCACAGGCGCGTCGAGTTGACGTTCATTTGGTTCGTGCTTCGCGCGGAACCGATGCTCATCGGTTCAGTCCGCGTCAATTCGACGCCTATCAAGATGAAGCGTCTCAATTCGACGTTCCTGCGTATACACTCACAATGCGGTGTCGATGTTTGCCTGTGTCGCGCGCGCTGGCTCATCCAGGATCCAAGCAACCATCGCAGCCGTGCTGCGTTGGCGTGCGACCGCGGGGGAGGAGCGCATCTGCGAAGGGGCAGGGTATGTTCGGGCGTTGGCAGAACTGGGTTGAGTGGCTCCCCTTCACCGGTTCCCCTTAACCGGGGTCCTGGCCATACTCGGTATGTAGCCCCCCTCGCGCACACATTCGTGGCTCTCCCGAGGTCCTCCTGGACACGGCCCCGACGCAGCGCCCGCGGCGCCAGGCTCCCCCGCCGCGGCGCCCGCGGCGTCCAGCTGCCCCGCCGCAGCGGCCCCGCTATGCGAGACATGTGTGGGCGTCGGTGTACCGATGCTATACTTAAGTCGGGCGTGTCCCCCTACAGGGGGATTTTCAACGAAAAATAAAACATACCCCAAAAATAATCAAACAATTGTCGGGGGATTATGTTTCTAGTATGCTTTGACCTTTTTGGGGCACTTTTGAGTATTTGGGTATTTTCCGTCAAAATCCCCCTGTAGGGGGACAAGCTTAATGCTATACCCTATGAAAATGGCACGTTCCTCATCAGTTGCTCGATCCGGCCCAGCCGCGGCGGCGACAGCTGACCGCTCTCATGTCATGACCTCGCGATTCAAGACCGGGGACTCCGAGGTGTTCATCTCCCCAGCGAGAGCGGGTTTTTCGGATGATAACTGGAAACCTATGTTCTTGGATGGAACGGCCTGTGGGCCAAACCTCATTCCCACTTGATTACAGGTTAAGGGCCCTGGCACGCCTGTGAGTTTTCCAAACGGCCAGCTGTAACACACGGGAACACGCAGCAAAAAGATAACGAACAAGAACAACTGTTAGTAATGCGAATGGACGCCGACTCATGGGCACCGCCCTTTTTGCCGAACGCCCGAGCCACAAATGCTGCGGCGCCTCCCTCCCTGCGGAAGCGCGCGCAGCAAGGAAGAGCAACAAGGGCGGGGGGAAGACCCAAATGGACCCGCGACCCCCCGAAACCCATTCTGGGATACCGTCAAAAACAAACATGCGCCAAAAACGGAGAGCAACACATATCCCCTCCCCACCTCTCCGCTCCCTTCCTAGCCTCCTTCCCGTCGTCTTCCCCATCGTCCCCTCGTCTCCCCTCTGCTGAACTTCGCCTCATTCCCCTATGTCTTGCCCCATCCACTTCCTCAGCCTCCTCTATAGTTTCCCCAGCCCCCCCGACCACCCTTGATTACTTCTCCCCCTCGACCTGTTGCCTACTCCTCCGTTTTCTCCTTGCACCTGTCACATATTCATTTTTTCGCCCGGGCAGAACACCTGGGCGACACAACCCGAAGGGAGGTGCCCGAGGTGCCTGCGCGAATTCACATGCAGTCGGACCTCGCAACACGAACGGCGGCACGGACCCGCCCCAGGCGTTATCCGCGCCGACGTCGCGAAGTGCCTCGAAATGCCACCCCGAGACACGGCCACCGGCACCACCCCCACTTGGCCGCCGGCCTCAAGCAGCGGAGGCCCCGCTGCCCAAGGACCTAAATTCCCGCGCCCCCCCACGTCGGGAGACCCCTTCGAGTAACCCCTATCGGGCCTCTCAGGGGTGGTAGGCGGGCCCGCACCTACTTTGGCTGGCAAACCACAGGGCAAGAGTCTCTCCCACAGCCCCGTCGAGCTGTGGTGACGATCGGGCTGCCAACCCGCCTGTCTTCCTGGGACGCCACGCTCCTCCTCCTCCTCCACTGCCTCCTCCTCCTCCTCCTCCTCGTATCGTCCTTCTCTTCGTCCTTTTCCTCTTCCTCCGCTGCAGCTGTATCCGAACAGAACGAAACTTTGGAGCATGCTACGATTTACGCAAAGAGACGAACACCGAGCGACGACGATCGACACCACCACCACCACCACCACCACGACGACGACCGACGGCGACGACGGCCAACGAGGCCGGACGACGATGGACGCCAACGACCACGGATTGCAACTGCGCTCGGCAGAGGCAGGCCCCCCGGCGGGCGGCGGCCAGGTGCATCACCATCGGGTGGTCGTTCTCGGCCAGGAGCTTGCACTCCCGGGCGACCTCTGGAGGGAGGGGCCGAGGACCCGAGGCCGCCGGGCTGCTCTCTCGGGAGCGGCCAAGAGCGGGTTGTCCAAGAGGGGGGGTGCAAATCGTGACCGGCGGCACGTGCGCGGCCCAGCGGGGGGGCCAGGGACGTAATGAAATGAGAAGAGGCGCCATGACATCTGGGGAAATATCATGGCCCCCGCCATGATATCCCCCCCCCAAGTCATCACCCCCCTCTTTGCCGCCCAGGACGTTCGTGCCGCAGGCAAGCAACGGCCGGGGCCCGAGGATCGAGGCTTCTGGACAATCCTGTGAGGAACAGGACGAGGAGGAGGAGGAGAAGGAGGAGGAGGGGGGGAGGAGGAGGAGGAGGAGGAGGAGAAAGAGGAGGAGGAGGAGGAGGAGAGAGAGGAGGAGGAGGAGGAGGAGGAGGAGGAGGAGCTCGCCCCCGATTCTCTGGAGCCCGCCTGGGCCTCCCGAGCCCGCTTCGGCTGCGGGCCCGTGGCGGCTCGGCTCGGCTCGGGCCTCGCCCGCTGCGGCCTCGGAGCGCTTCTTCGGCCTCGGCCCGTCTCGGCGCTCCGCGTCCTCCGGACTCTCACCTCGGCCCTCCTCGTCCCAATCCTGCCTCCCCCTCTCCCCTCCTCCTCCTCCTCCTCCTCCTCCTCCTCCTCCTCCTCCTTCCTCCTCCTCCTTCCTCCTCCTCCTCCCTCCTCCTCCTCCTCCTCCTCCTCCTCTCCCTCCCACTCCTCCTCCTCCTCCCCCTCCTCCTCCTCCTCCTCCTCCGCCTCCTCCTCCTCCTCCTCCACCTCCTTGGGTACAACTCTCACACGTTTGGTGGCCCAATAGGGAGCCCCAGCTAGGACTCAAACGCTTGGAAAGTCGCACGAGCTCCCGCTCCCCTTGCCAGCCCACCCCTCGCACGCTTCGTGGCCCCACAAGGGGCCCCAATCGAAGGCCCAAATACCAAAGTTCACGTGAGCTTCCGCCAGTCATTTCGGCACACCCGTGACACGTCGCGTGGCCACATAGGGAACCAAAGCTAAGACCCCGAATGCCAAAATTCACATGACCTCCCGCCTCTCACTTCGGCGCACTCTTCGAACGCTTCGTGGTTCCATGCGGAAGACCAACGAAGGCCCCAATGCAAACATTCACATGAGATCGCGCCTTTCAAGTCGATGCACTCCTCGCACGCTTCGTGGCCCCATGGGCAGCCCATATCGAATGCCCATAGGCCCAAACAAAAACATGATCTCCCGCCTCTCATTGCGGCACACCCCTCGTACGCTTCGCGGCCCCATGAGGGGGGCCCAACTCAGGGCCAACTTCAAAAAATCACATGAGCTCCCGTCTCTCATTTCGGCACGCCCCTCGCACGCTTCGTGGCCCCAGCGGGAGCCCGAACCAGAGCCCCAGTCCGAAAGTTCACATGCGCTCCCACCTCTCAGATCGGCACACCCCTCAGACGCTTCGTAACCCCATACAGAATCCCAAGTGAAGGCCCAACTGCCTAAGTGCACATCAGGTTCCTCCTCTCATTTCGGCATGCCCTTCGTGTGCGTCGTGGCCCTACCGGGAGCCTCAACTACGAGCCCAAAGACTGAAACTCACATAGACTTCCGCGTATCACACCCGTGCACACTTCGCGGCCCAATAAGGGGGGCCCAACGAAGGCCCAAATGCCGAAGTTCACGTGAGCTTCCGTCTCTCATTTCTGTGAGCTGTCCCCCAAAGAAAGGAGATACAATGGTACTGGTTATGCTGGATTGGGCAAAAACTTTCGAACGATTCGAACGATTCGGCCTGCCTGCCCCGACGGTGGAAATGGTTACAGGTATTTACGACCAACGGTAAAATACCATAGTGGATCATTTTGGGCGCTCTACAGAAAGACAACAACATGCTGGCATTGCTCAAGGGTGCCCCCTTTTCATCATATCTGTTGTAGCAATACAAACCGTTATGCTACATGACGCTGATGCTCTTCTGGCATTGGAAAGCGAACCCAGATACATGGTCAATGTTGCAGCTTTCGCTTGAAATAATCGTTGTGGAAGGACAAAACTATCGCATGACAATGAAGTTGGGACAACAACTCACACATCCAAATCAAATGTGCTTGTGCAATCACAAGACCCTCAAGCGAGCCGATCAAGACTGTCAGGGAAGCCGTATACCTTGGAGGGATCGTCACGATGCCCAAGTGAACGTTTCTTTTTCGGCGTTTCGACACTGGGCACAAGGGGGGGGAGGGGGGGTTCTGGCTCCGGGACCTCTGCTTAGTGCGACTGTTTGCAGCAGTGCGACGCCTGGGGAAGGGACTGCACCTGCTCGAAACAGGCGCCAAAACAGCCAAGATCTGCTCAACGCGGGGTGGGGAGGAGAGGAGGAGGGGGGGGGGATGCGAGGGGAGGGGGAGCGAGGGGAGAGGGGATGGGGAGAGAGGGGAGGGGGGAGGGGGGAGGGAGGGGAGGGGAGGGGAGGAGGAGGGGGAGGAGGGGAGGAGGGAGAGGGGGGGGGGGGGTGCGAGTGGACCCGGCGCCGATGGCCCGAGGCCGACAGCGGCCGCTGATGGGCAGGCGGCCCTGTGCTTCAAGCGGACAAGGCCCGCGGCGGCACGGACAGCGAGGCCCGTTCAAAAGGAGCAGGCACGCTCCTCCTCCTCCTCCTCCTCCCCTCCTCCTCCTCCCCTCCTCCTCCTACCTCCCTCCCTCCTGCGCTCCTCCTCCTCCTCTCCTCCTCCTCCTCCTCCTCCTCCTCCTCCTCCTCCTCCTGCTCCTCACCCACCTCCCCCTTCTCCTCCTCGTCCTCCTCCTCCTCCCTCCTCCTCCTCCTCCTCCTCCCTCCTCCTCCTCGCCTCGTGTCTTCCTCCTCCTCCTCCCTCCTCCTCCTTCTCCTCCTCTCGTCTCGTCCTCCTCCTCCTCCTCCTCCTCCTCCTCCTCCTCCTCCTCCCCTCCCCCTCCACCTCCTGCTCTCCCCCTCCCCCTCGCCCTCCCCCCCCCCTCCCTCCTCCTCCTCCTCTCCTCCTCCTCCTCCTCCTCCTTCTCTCTCTCCTCCTCCTCCTCCTCCTCCTCCTCCTCCGTGCCTAAATCGATCGCACTGGGGAAGAGTAGGAGGCCGAGGGATGCTCCCCTCCCCGTGGCCGCCGCAGCTGCGGCCTCGGAGGGCACCTTGTTCTGCTTCTTCCGCACGCGCTTGAGGGCGTACCTCCCCGTGCCGCACCCCCAAAAAAGAAGACGAACCGAGGAAGAGGAGGAGGAGGACGAGGAGGGAAAGGAAGAGGAGGAGGAAGAGGTGGAGGAGACGTGGAGGAAGATGGGGAGGAGGACCAGAGCAGACCCAGGATGCCTCAACGATGCTGCACCCCCCTGTGGCCCCTTGAAATACGAGCGCCCCCAGTGGTCCTGCTGTTCGGCGAAGGGCCCAGTTGTTTTCCTCCTCCTCCTCCTCCTCCTCCTCCTCTTCTCCTCCAGCTCTCCTCCTCCTCCTCCTCCACCTCCTCCTCCTCCTCCTCGTCCTCCTCCCCCTCCTCCTTCCTCCTCCTCGTCCTCCTCCTCCTCCTCCGTCTCCTCCTCCCCCTCCCCCCCTCCCCTCCTCGTCTCCTCCTCCTCCCTCCTCCCCCACCCTTCTCTCGCTCCCCCCCTCCCCCCTCCCCCCTCCTCCCCCCATCCCCCCTCCCTCCCCTCCCCCCTCCCGCTCCGCCTGGAAACTGCCATCCACTCTTTTGGCTCTGAGGACGGCGACCAAGTAAGACCATCACATTCCTTGAAATGTCCAGGCAGAGCCCGCTTTGAACAAATCATCCGTCTGTGCACAGGTTCGACCATTATGTACCTCTGCCCTCTGGCAACGCAAACTGAGGAATCCTCAAACAAACGCCCCTATGAAAAGGAGCCGTGTGCAACTGTCGCACGAGCGTGAACAACGTGAGATGTACAGACACCCACGCGAACATTACATGTTGCAAAAGAGCCGCCCCCACACGTGTAATTGATCGTAGCGTTTAAGAATGTGCGCGGCGCTGAGGCGAGAACCACATTTTGAAGACGGCCCTCCTCCATCCGTGCAGCTGTTAAGAATTCGAGGAAAAAGACGGTGCGCGGCGCTACAACGGCAACCACATGTTTAGAACGATCCTCCTCCGCCCGTGTTCTGGTTGGACACTGAGAGACGAACATGAGGGGCGCCAAAACGACAACCGCATGCTGAACACGAATCATTGCATCTGTGCAACTGCTAGGAGATTTCAAAACGATTGTGCGCGGCGCTGACCTCGCGTGCGCGGGTGAGGAAGGAGCGGGTGCAGGAGGGAGGATGCGAGGAGGGGGCGGGGAGGACTGGGAGGAGGGGGAGCAGGTGGGGATGAGTAGTTGGCCCTGGTCCGGTGATGAAGGCGCGAGGGGGGCACGAGGGCGAGGAGGAGCAGGCCACTCCAGAGCAGTCCTCCCCCCCCCCGCACTCTTCCTCCCCCCCCCTCTCCACGCCGCGCCGCACGACTCCCTCTGCAGCCAGAGGTCGCCCGCACCGCGCGCGAGGCGCCACGCGCTCCGAGCGCGGCTCCCTCCTCGGCCCCCCCCCTCCGCGGCGGCTGCTGCCCGACGCCGCGCGCCCGACGCCGCCGTGGCACACGGCAGCTCCTCCGAGGGGGGAAGAGGGGAGGGGACTGGCTCAGGGTGAACATGAGAAGGAGGAGGAGGAGGAGGAGGAGGAGGAGGAGGAGGCGGAGGAGCAGGCGGAGGAGGACGCGAGGAGGATGCGAGGGCCTCCCGCAGCGACCCCGCAGGTTCCTGGGCCGTGCGGGCTGTCGGGGCCGCATCGGCGATGGATGGGCGATTGGGGTGTCCGTGCACCTCCGCCTGAGCCTGTCCCCCCCCCACCGTTGCCCCCGATCAAGAGGTCAGACCTCGATCGCTGGAACTCTCCTGGGGTGCCGTCTGACCAGCATTCCCAAGGCGGATCCGGTCGTGGCCACGAGGGCGCCCACGACGATCAAAAACCTCCAGGCTTACGTAGGTCGGGCACGTCCTCCTGCAGGCGGATTCTGGGCGAAACATGAGAAATAGACGAAACAGACTCCCACATAGCCAAAAATGGTCAAACAAATCGTCGCCCAACTATTGTTATATTTTTGAATTGTTCCTCCTGTAGAGGGACATCCCCGACTCAACTCCAGGAAGCGAAGCCCGATCCTCAAACCTCGAGCCTCCACATCTCTGATCCTCTCCCCCCTCCCTGCGGGCGTTCTGTGTCCTCCGCCCTTCGAGTAGGGGATCGACTGCAGAATTGGCTTACCCCAACATCGACTTCCCCTTCGAACCTGCAGACACATAAGGGTACGTAGATCCACAGAGCATCCACGATTGCTTCGTAGATTCGGCGGAACACTCAACCTTGGGTGAAATCAATTATGTTGTTGACTCCCTGCGTGAGCCGCAGCCCCCAAGCCCCTGCAAGCGGGGTGTCCGTAAACGGGGTGGTAGCTCAGGGTGCGTTTTCGATTGTGCCTTCGAACAATAATTTGCCGCGCACAGGTGCGAGGTAACCCACACGCCCAGAGTTATGATTCTATTCTGTATATATATATATATATATATATATGTATATGGTTTGTCGCCCCGATGTATCACGCACTGGTGTAATGAGCATGCCCTGTCGCCCTGTACTCGCTCTCGTAGAGTCCGCTTAGCTACCACCCCGTTTACGAACACCCCGTTTGCAAGGGCTTAGAGTCCCCGCCCCCGAGAAGGTCGGCGCCGCATCTGGGTCTGCTTGTGCTGGACGAGCCGCACCGTGCCGGCCGACCCGATGCCGATGACCTCTCGCGATCGGCCGCCGCCGCTGCCGCCGCCGATGGCCTTCAGAGCGGCTTTCTCCACGATGGCCTTCCGTCGATGGCCATCGTGGGTGCAATCTCGGCGCGATCTATTTCGGGGGGGTCTCTTCCGGGCTATCTTGGAGGGCCTGGGGGGTCTGGGGACGATGTTTTGGAGGGTTCTCCCACGGGAGGGGGGTCTGAAATGGCTTGTATTGGAGGGTCCAGACCCCCTCCATTTTATTACGAAATCTGGAGCATCCTCGGGGGACCTCGTCTGTCCCGTCGCGGTCCCGTCCGCGTCGGATCCGTGTCCAGCCCAGGTCGGACTCGTCGGCTGCGTGCCAAATTCGTGTCGGGTCGAACCAGCGCGCATATTCGCCTATGTTGTATCCTCGGGGGACCTCGTCTGTCCCGTCGCGGTCCCGTCCGCGTCGAATCCGAGTAGTCCAGCCCAGGTCGGACTCGTCGGCTGCGTGCCAAATTCGTGTCGGGTCGAACCAGCGCGCATATTCGCCTATGTTGTATCCTCGGGGGACCTCGTCTGTCCCGTCGCGGCCCCGTCCGCGTCGAATCCGAGTAGTCCAGCCCATGTCGGACTCGTCGGAAGCGTGTCAAATTCGTGTCGGGTCGAATCAACGCGAAGGAGGAGGAGGAGGAGGAGGAGGAGGAGGAGGAGGAATATTCGCCTATGGCGTGCTGACGCCGCCGCCGCCGCCGAGGGCTTCGATAAATCCCCACTCGAGCGAGGATCAAAAAGAAGGTCTTACGCGAGGTGACGCAGCGACCTCACAGTCGAGGCGTTGACCCAAGGAACCCTAAATAGGGGAACGAGGCCCCTTGGCTCCATGAATTCCATCTCGATTTCCGATCGAGAACATGGGAAAACTTCCAGACATTCAACTTCGATTTCCTATCGGGAACATAGAAAAACCTGGGGCAAGCTGTGACACAATCAAGGAACACCGAGCCCCTCCCCAACGAAAAGGCTTCCTTCTTCAGGGCCCCGACTGTACTCCGCAGCTTCCGCGGGCCGCCAGCGCGGCACGCCTTGCTGGAGACGGGGGCGCCTACCCGCGACCTTGCGCGGGCAACTCGCGCGCCGATGCTGGCGCAGACGGCACCGTTTTTTTTTCTTTTTGTTGCGTCACCCGCCTGTACCCTCCACGAGTACGACGGAGCCAGGACGAGGATCACATCGGGTGAGGATAGATCGAGAATGTCGGAGGTCCGGCGGCTCTTGGAGATGTAAGCATCGAGCGCCGCAGCTTTTTGCCTGAGGACGCTCTGGAACGCGCTGAGAGGCTTCCGGAACGCCATGGGAAGGTCCTCCGCAGGAGTCCCCCCACGGGGTTCCCCATCGGACCCTCCAAGGCCTCCAGTGCGGCTGTCGAGTAGAGAAGAGTGCTCCTCCTCCTCCTCCTCCTCCAACGCGGCGTGCCGCTTGCCCCGCCGACGCCACAGACTCGCCGCCGCCGACGCCTCCCCCCCCGCGCGGCGCGCGCGCGCGCGGGGGGGGAGGGGGTAGCAAGGCGTGGCGATCCGGCGGCCTTGACGTGCTTCAACTCCTCTCGCCGGCGCCGCGGGCAGGGCGGCGGCGAGGGGGCGGCGGCGGCGGCGGCGTGGCGACACCCTGACGGGGTACTCGCCCAGCAGGCGGGGGCGGTGTAGCGCAACTAAGGCGGGGCAGCGTATCGGGTCGGGCGAACAGCGGAAACCCCAGCCAGGGCACAAGGCTTAGGTCGGGCGTGTCCCCCTACATGGACGACAAATAAAAAATGCCAAACAAATACACAAGCAATGCTCAAACATACTTTAAGCAATCGTCCCCCGACTATTCTTTGACTATTTTTGAATATTCCCCCTGTAGAGGGACAGGCCCGACTTAACACAATGCGGCGACGAAGCGGCGACCGGGCAACAAGCTGGAAATGGCAACCGGTTGCTCCACAACATTGTCTGGGAAATATCCGGAGACGTCCGAGACCCTCGGCAACAACCCTGACGAAGCTACCGTGCGAGCGGGGAGCGTGGGGTGTCTCGCCAGGACGAAGAGGGAGGACGCCAAAGGCGAGGTCCGACTGGATACCAAAGCAGAAGAAGAGACAACGCTATAAACATAAACTTTTGGCGCTCCGCGCGGACTTCTTCTTGGATCTGCGCCAGGCCCCCCCCCCCTCCCTGGCGCGCGGAGCTCGGAGGCGGCCAAGAGGGGGTGTCCAAGAGGGGGGGGTGCAAATCATGGCTGGCGGCATGTGCGCGGCCCAGAGGGGGGCCAGGGAACGTAGTGAAATGAGAACAGGCGCCATGAAATCTGGGAAATATCATGGCCACCGCCATGATATCCACCCCCCCCTAGTCATCACCCCCCTCTTTGCCGCCCCCGAGGAGCGCGCCAATGGCGGTGCCAGAGGCGCCGCCGGGAGGGTCCAGTGCGGATCCAAGAAATCCGAGCGGAGCGCCAAACAGTTTATGTTAGTGGATACCAAATGGAGGATACCCAAGGATACCCAGAACGGAGGATACCCAGAGGGAGGATGCCAACAAGGGGAAGAGATGCCCCAAGGGTTCCGAAGCGGGAGGACACCGAAGGGAGGACGCCCGGGGATAGCACAGGGAGGATGCCCAGGGATACCCAACAGGGAGGATGCCGAAGGTGAGGTTGGCGAGCCCACTGCGCGCCGCTGGCTGCCCCGCGCCTCCCGGAGCCAACAAGCGGCAGCGCATCGAGAGGCTCGCCTGGCGGACGGGTCCCGAGACCAGCCGCACGCGGCAGATTTTGCCCCCCATTAAACTTCGATGTTCGATGCTCGGTTATCGATATTCGACGCCCAATTATCATATCGAATAGAAGCTTCGATATTCGACTATATTTTCTTCCCCTCCTCGTCCTCGTCCCGCCTGTTTTCCTCCTCCTCCCCCTGCCCCACTCCCTTCCGTTCGCCCGACCCGGCTGTTCGCCCATCGTATCCGATATCCTTCAAGGTCACGCTGGTGTCCTGCAGCTTGATCCGCTCCATCAACACCTCGGCACGACGAAGGAGGGAACGGAGTTTCTGGGAGGTTCCCGGGCAATAGACCAAGAACGATCCTCGACCCTCGATGATAGAGAGGGGGAGGGCGGGACTGGCGGGGGGAGGCGGAGATGTGAACGGGGTGTTCCCCCGCCCCCCTCCGCCCACCCCCTTCTCCAAACCCTGCTGTGGTCACATTCCTCCCTCCTCCCTCTTGCTTGCTCCGTGTGCTCCATTTCTCCTCCCAACCCCTTCCACATCCTCCATCCCCTACTCCACATACCTCTTCCCTGGCGTTTCTTCTTTTGCCTACTCCGACCTTTGTTTTTTTGCAAACATATTTGTCTTCTTTCCTCCTCAGTCTCCTCGTTCGATTGCCCCGCTCACTCCTTCACCTCATCCTGCCGCACTGGTTCCCCAACTCCATCATCATGTTGCCCGCCCTTGATTGGGCAACCACCGCCGTGCTGTGTTCGTTGGCATGGTTGTGTTGTTGTTTGTCTGTTCCTTTTTTCGCATCGAGCTTTAAGTCGGGCCTGTCTATACAAGCGAATCGTTGAGAAAAAAATGAAAACTGCCAAAAACAGACGGCGAACTATTCAACGCCAGCGGAAACATGATTCCGAACTGCTGTTCGCTATCATTGAACCTCCCGCTTGTAGAGGGACACGCCCGAGTTAAATCTAGCGCCGCGGCAAAACAACATCAGGTCCGTCGGCGCTCGACGAAGACGGCCCGCGGGGGATCGATGACAACCATGAGTGTTGCTTGTTGCCCGCTCTGGGCCGCCGCGGGCCTCCCGAAGCATTTGGGGCCCTCCAGGGAACTGGAGGAGGAGGAGGACACAACAGGACAGGACATCCGCATGAGGTGGTCAACGTCGAAACGCCCGCAATTGAGCTGCGGGGTACGATTTGGAACTTCCCCTGCGAGCGAAGCTCGCCGCAGACCCAAACTTCCCACGGGGCCGGCAGGGGGCGTGCCCCGGTGTTCCAAGGGGCGAGCTCCGAGGAGGCCCCCTCGTTACCATGTGAATGCAAATTCCTACGGGTCAGTGCGATTTGAGCGGGTGCTGGCCCTTTCGCGCGCCCATTCCATTCCATGGGGAACGCGCTGGGCGAGCAGGGCGCCCAAGCAGGGGGAGGAAGACGACGCGACCGCACCTCAACGGCGCAGGGGAGAGAGGAGGAGGGAATGCAGGAAGCCCCATTCGTGCCAAACTTATGCTGCGGGGCCGAAGTAATAATATACCCCAAAGTCCTGCTGTGCCCACGCTTCGAACAGAAACCCTCCCGCTCTAGACTCACATCGCTTCCTGGACGTGCAGGTCGACGGCCGAACCGCGCAACGTAGTGTCCGACGCAAAGCACAAGCCCAGCGCTGCAATGCGCTGCATCCAAATTCCCTGTAGTAGTCAAACTGCATCTCTGAACTGCCCCCTCGAGTCGGCGCGTGCGCAGGGGCGAGCAATGCCACTGCTGCCGCGACGTGTGAGAGGCCTCCATCTCTGCAATGCAGGCCACGTCTCACTGTCATTCCACGGGAGGAGGGGCCCTTAGGGAGAGCGCTCTACCGGTCTCTGCGGGGCCCTCGTTTTCCACTCGTCGTCCCAGTGGTGTGTTGCCCATATGGATGCGCAGTGTCTCCTGTCTTCTTGCGCCCCCTGTCGGCGCCCAAGAGAAAGGCGCCCATGTCGGCGCGGGCCCCGCTGGCCCACGCTCCGAGATGCCCTCGCCAGTGCAGCCGCAGGCGCGAGCGGGCGCTCTTGCGCGCGGCCGCTGGAGCTAGCCGCTCCACCTGAATCGGCACACTTCTCAAGGGTCTCGGTGCCGTCGAGCAGGGTGCCTGTGCTCTCGCGCAGTTCCTGACGACGCTGGAGCCTCTCGACCTCCTTCCTCTCGGTCTCCTCGATGGACTGCAGCTCCGCCTCGGATGCCTCCATGACGATTTGCAGGTTCTCCACGTCGTTCTTCGCGCTCCGCATCGCAAGCTCGCACCAGCTGCGCGACGAGAAGTGCTGCCTCCCTACTGCTTGCCGCGCGTCCACTGGGCACCTTCCAATCAGCTCGCAGCCCTTGACGCGGTGCGTCATGGGGAAGACGGCAGGGGCCATCGCCTGCAGGTCATCTGGGCTCAGCTGCTGGGCGGCGTCGAAGAACTCGCGGTAGTGCTCTTCGATGGCGTCGTCGATCTTTTGTGGCAGCCCCTCTGCTGCAAATGACTCCTACTTGCCGGTAATGAGAAGCTCCACCACCGCCGTCGACGGGCCTGCGCGGCGCGGGGGGGAACGCGACGTGCAGCCGATCTCGGGCCACTTCGCGTGATCCTCAGTGAAATCGCTCTTCGCCTTATCCACCCATTGTTTCATGAGCTGGTCCTTGGGGGAGCTGTCCTGGGCAGTCGCCGGCGCCGCCCAGTCGACTTTGCTCCGGAACATCCACTGACGTCGCCGCGATTTAGAGCCAAGGCCCCTCCACCGCAGCTTGTTGGGGCTGGCTAGTCCGCGCGAGCAGGCGCAGTTCTTGTCCGCGTCCCAGCCTGCGCGGCACCTGCGCACATGGTACAAATTTATGTTGTCGCTCCACTTGCTCACGAAGTCAAGCGCCTTCAGGTACTGGGCCTGCTGTGCACCCATGTTCTTGCACGTCCTGTAGCTGCCGTGTTCCTGCAGCTCCTTTTCCATCTCTTCCATCGCTTGCTTGGCTGCCTCCAATGCTTCCCCGTCCTCCATGTCCTACTGGGGTCGTACTCCTCCGCGCACTTCAGGGCGACCAGCATGTTCTCCCCTGCCCTGCTGAATGCCGCGAAGATGTCCCCATTCTCCTTGATGCCGCTCACCAAGGCCTCCGCCGCCTCCCTGGGCCGCTCGAGGACCTTGTTTTCTTTGCTTGCGCGACCACTTCGGCTGATTGCCTTGCTCCTCCTCGTCGACATTCGCCTTCGCAGCCTGGATTTGCCCCATGGATTGACCAGCCCACGCTCCACGCTCGGCCCCTTGCGCGCTGCTTCTGATCGCGGCTGACTTGTTCTTGTGTGATGTAGTTCTCCCCGCCATGACGAAGATGCTCCTCGTCGCTCCGCTCGGACCATTCCTCGCGCCTGGGAGCCAGTTCGCGTTGACGCACGCCCTCTTCCACTGGCTTCCTCTTCACCTTTGGTCTTGTTCACGCCCTGGCTCGTCCTTGGCGCGTTCCCCGTGGCTCTCCATCATCCTGTAGTGCCCGAGCCGCTCGCCGCATCGGCCGCGTGGCCAAAGCATGTCGCTGCTGGTAAAGGCCACGAGCAGCCCTCTGCGTCTTAAGCTCCGAAGTGCCCTCTCTAGTGCAAGTCCGCACCTAGGCTGGGGTTGGGTTAGATGGGCTATGGAAGCTGATGGTGAACGACCCGGTTTTGTCTCCTCTCTGAAATCCCTCGTTGTGCAGTCCCTAAACGCACATCGTAATTTTATGGGGTCGGGTCCCACTCCTGAGCCCCCCCATCTGTCCGTGGCTCATCGCTACATGTATGTTGTCTGTTTGATGCCTGTCGCGCATGCAGGGGCCCGAAGCACGCCGTGTCTCCACAACTGTACATGGCCGCAAAGCGAATGACGCTGGAAGATGTCGCGTCGTCAATGTAAGGCGCAGGCAACTGAATGTTCGGATGGGAGGACAAGTAACTGCCTGGCAGACCTCGCCCTAAGGCGCTTCTGTGCAACTCTGCCTCCCGTTGCGCCTGAAACTTGAAGGCCAGTTGGTAGCGCCTGCCGTTGGGGGACATGTGTCTAAGTTTGGCGAGGCGCTCAACGTCCATGCTGATTGAATCCGCGACCTTGCCCTCGTTGGAGAGATGCCGTCTCGCTTGTCTGCTATTGCGCACTCCTGAGAGGCCCGCCTGCGCTGGGGAGGCCCCCTGAGGGGCGGCGTCCTCAGGGCGCGGCGCGGTAGCTTTCGCAGAAGGGGTCGTGCACGTGCTGGTCGGCGCCAGTCGCGGTCAGGCACAAGGCGCCGGGCTTCTTGCGCTCCCAGATGCCCTCGCTAGCGCCGCCGCCCCCTTTTCTCCTCGCGGCGCCGGCGCTAGGCATCGTGTTCCACCGCCCTCTCCAACCGCGTCTTGGGCGCTGCCTTCGTGGACTTCTTGCCGCCCGCGAAAACGAGCAGCGCCCCCGCTGCTTTCTTCAAAATGTGGCCCGAGAACACGCCCAACTTCTCCAGAATCTCCACTCTCGTGCCTTTCGGGGGCGCCACTCGGAATTTTTGGGCCGCGTTGATGCTGATCTGGACCTTGCCCATGCACTCCGTCCAGAACTGTCCGTCCTCGTTCGGGTGCTCGTTCTTGCTGTTGCGAGCTTTGTAGCTCTCGCTGACCGAGGTCGGGCTCCTCGTAGTCGTCCGATGGCTGGAAGTGCTGGCGGGGGGCCTGCGGCCCCCTCCCTCCCCCGCCCTCGCCGCCCCCCCCCC